AGGCCAAAAACATTAAAGTTAAAACGATTCAAACAAGTACATTTTCCGAAATTCGAACTTGTGTTTTTCTTCTTAAAAAGTGAAACTGTTTACTATGGGTTTGTTTGGATCAGCGATTGAAAAAAAAGATTATTAAAAAAGTAGCTTATGGAGAAGTGAAGTTGGATAAAGCTAAATTAGATAAGCTGAATTGTGTTTGGATTAGAGTTCAGAAAAGCTAGCTTGTAAAAGTGAGATTGATAAAAGATTGTTTGGATTATAATTAAGTAAAAGTAAATTTGGTTGTAAAATGACCAAAATGAGTATGAGTTTAATAAATAATGAAACATGATTAAAAAAATAATTTCACATAATACAATGAAATTAAAATAATTTAATATGAAAAATCAAATTTAATGAGTGAATTAAATTTTAAAACTTTAAAGAAATCATAAAAAATTTTCTCCGGTCCTAAATATAAGACCCATTTTACAAATTACACAATAAAAGAGGTTTTATATTTAAGACCGGATTTATCCTATAAAAAGAGTTTTATATTTAGGACGGAGGAGTAATCTAAATATAAAATGAAATATGAAAAAAAAAAGTGAAAAAAAAATGACGGAGGATGCGAGAGAGGTCTGAGAGTCTAAGGTGAAAAAAAAAACTAAGGAATTAAAACAAAACTGAGGAAATGTGTTAATATAGCCGAAGTCAGATGGAGAAAAAAAAAGTTCTGACACATGTGCAACAGTGAAAAAGCAGAATAAGCTCCCAAATAAGTTACAAAATGCAACTTCTCCCTCGACGCTGGTCTAACAGCTTAAAACAAATAAGCTCCTTTTGAAGTTAAGCCCAACCAAACAGGTGATCATCTTGCAATCGGGTTTGTAGCAAAAATAAGCTACTTTTCACCCCAAATAAATTCAACCAAACAGGCTCTATATCAATGGGCTTCTTATTGGTTATACATGAATTAATATTAATCAATATAATCATCAAATTTATTTACCAGGCCACATGTGTCAAGTGTTTGTGTGCTTGCCTGTTTGGCACTCTAGTAAAATAGATTAGTCATCTTAATTGAATGAAGCATGACAAGTTAGAATATTTAATTATGACTATTTGTGAAAAACACCTCAACTCACATGTTAATTAATTATGAAGTAATAATCCTATTCAACCTAATTAGATAATTTTTTATCATTTGATATCTAAACACTTATACTCCTCCAATCCTTAATATAAGACCAATTTAACTAATTTGATTAGATTAAAGAAGTTAGGCAAGTTAGTTAACTATAAGAAAAGTGACATATTTTTTTCTAAAACACCATAATCATCTTTCTTAATACCTCCTCCCCCTCTTCTACTTGATTATGATTAAGAGAGTATTCATAAGATAATTTAGAGAAAATTAATAAATATGAAACATGGGTCTTATATTTAGGACTTAAACCAATTCAAAAATTGAGTTCTATATTAAGGATAGGAGGAGTATCTCTTTTAAGCAGTATTTAGTTGCCCTAGCCTATATTTTGATCTATTTGGTCATTGGGTCTATACAGAACTGGAAGGAGTATTTCTTAACCAAGTGGGTTATTGATGAGTTCATTCTCCCCACTAGTTTCAATGAAGATAGTCAACATTGTTAGGCTGGCAGCAAGGGAACGTGTGACTTGTACATAAGCGTTAACGTACGTAAATTAAATTATGTTAAAAAATATCCAAAATATTATTCAAAAAATAAAAATTGAAGAAATTCAATATTTTGTTTTTAAGTATAAATATCTGTTGGTGGAGTCTTATAACCCAATAACATCCAACGTTTTTCTTCAAGTCTTTTTCAAGCATGAAAAATATAATGGATGTGTGACTTATTAAAAAAAAAATCTAAGTGCCTCTCACAGCTATATTATACTCAAGATGCTTCCATCCCTAATTATAGGAAATAATTACCAAAATCATCTGGTTTAAAATGCTAGTTAAATTTAATTAAAAACAATAAATATGTAAGATATATACATTTTTTTTTTAATTATGCCCTTATTTGTAAAAGGAGTATATAAGAAATAAAGGGTGAAAATTTATTGTAAAGAGATTATAAACAATATATATCTAATGAGGATAAAATTAAAAAAAGAATAATTTAAAATATTAAATGAAAATGATTTGGTTTTTTATATTTGGAGACACCAATCATACCGGTGTAAAAAAAGATTGTTTTTTCATAAAAGATGATGAACGAGTAATGGAGAGGGAGAAAGACGCATATTTATGACCCGCATCATAATAAAAAACCGATAAAGATAAACATAACAACAACAAACACTCATATTATCATATTAAACAAGGTCGGTTATATATATTGACAAAGCCCAATTTTTATACATTTTATTTCATATTAATTTAGAAATTAAATGATAATTTAGAGCTTAATGGGATTTTTATGTATTATTAGATTAATTGGTTGATTTTTGGATTTTTCATAAAAATTGAGATTTTGAATTAAAAATATAAATATTTTGTGATTTCTTATTTTTGACTTGGAACTAATTTTTCCTATTTCTTTAGAAACAAGTCTCATATTTTTAGAAAGATTATTTTTAGAAAGTTTTGTAATTTCTTACCTAATTTTTGTGCATATCTAATACTACTATTTAATTTTTGATTATATTTGGATATAATCTATATTAATGGATACACTTAAATTCTTGTGGGTTAAGAAAGAGTATATAGGGAATCCAATAGTACAAGATTGTTTTTTAGAATTTAAGCACAATCCAATGGTTAATATCAAATAGGTCAATTAATTACTAATAGGCTTGAGTTTTAGATCCATAAAAATTTTCTTTTCTCTTATTAAAATATTTTTCTTATTTGATAGTAAAGACTCACGCCTAGCCTCACTTTTTCTTCTCCATTCACACCCACGGGCATCATCCACCGTCAATCACTTCCTTCATCCGATATTCACCCTTTCGGTCAAGAGAATTATTCACTTCTCCATTCCTGCGCAGTGCCCATATACTCCCCTCATTCACGTCATGCAACCCATCACCAATTGAACAACCATCTTCCTCCCACATTCATCTATTTCCTTGAGGCGATCCAGTTCCCATCTCCACATCATCATCACCTTTCATCAATTCATGGCCATAGCATTTAACAATTTTGGAGGAGAAGACAATTTGATGGAAGCTCGAGCTTGCTAGGGAGACAACTTGGGAAGAGCATGAAAAAAGCTTGAGTTTTGGGCTAGCACTTAAAAACCATAAGAGAGTGATATTCCATTTATCTTTTTAATTCAAGGACTTAAGATTATTTAGTTTTAAATAATTTTGAATTATATTTCTGTGAAACAATTTAGTTTTAAATTGTCATCCTTATATTTAGATTGAATTGATATTTGGATTTTATTTGTATTGAGACATTTGCTGGAATTTATGTTTATGAACCTTTGCATTGTTAATTGAGTTTTCATCATGAGTTTAATTATCAAAATGGTTTGAATTACAAAATTTGGGTTTTTTTGCCTCTTAATTGTTTAATTAAGTTGGTTAATTGTCTAATTGTCTAATTGGATAATTTCAAACAAAATTTCCAGAATTAATTGAGTTGTTTTTATTGGTTTTTAATAAGCTTAATTAACCGACTTTATACTGTTATGAGTTTTCTAATAGTTTAAGGGTTTTTAAAGTTGAGAATTTCATTTATTTCAAGTAAGTAATTAAGTTTATTAATTCTACTCTCTTATCATTTTCCTTTGGTCTAATTAACTGATTAAGGTTATGAAGGTCAAATCCATGCGAATCCTAAGTTGTCCCCTCTATCGTACCTGAAGAGAAACTTTTCAATTTTTACTTGTTAATTTTCTTTGCTTTTTAGTCAATTTTCTTTATTTATCATTTTAATTTTTTTCCTCAAAAAAACCCCCAAAATTGCATTGCATTCATTTAGTTTAATTTAATTTTCATATAGATTTTAGGACATTTGCATCTTGCATTTAGAATTAGAATTTTACATTTTAGTTTAGGTCTAATTTATTGTATTTTTTTCTCACCTAAATTTTTATCTAAAGAAACTCATAACTTGCTCTTTGAAAGTAATGACCTACGTCGATTCTAAATTACAAATTAATTAAGACCTAGTTTAATCGAGTGCTTTAATGACAGAAGCATCATCACATATATATATTGCTTTCGGTGTTTATAAAAACTAGATAATTAATTTGTAAATATTACGCTAAATTAGTTTTTATAATAAATGAGTATTGTTTTTCTTAAAATATTTTTATTAATAATATATATTAGAACGCAAACATTTTAATATGTGCAATTATCATGAAGATTATTTTAAGAAAAAATGTATAAATTTGAGAAACAAAATGAACTCGAGTTTTATATTTATGATTAAATTAAATATCTAATTAACTTTTATATTTAAGATAAGAAGTAGCAGGATGTTATTATGGTACTTTATCAATAACTTTATATATATATGTATATGTGTATAACTGTATATCATTCTTCAATGACTCTTGCTCAATGAATTTCTTAAATGTTATTTTTAATCATTTTTTATATCAATTTATAAGTTAAATTAAAAAGTAATAAATATGAGAAATAAAATTTAATATTTTATAATTAAAACCAAAATCAACCTCCTACTAACTTTTTACACACATATATATTCAGAACTGGAAAAGCATCATAATGAAATTTGATTCAAATTGGAAGAGGAAGAAAAATCCAATTTAATAAAAAAAGATGACATGAGGGAGAGAGAGCTAACATGAGAAGAGAGAGCATGAGGACAGCTCTATATAGAGCTGATGGCAGGTTGAGCCAATAAAATGAATCTAGAGTTCATTATTGTGATGAGAAAGGGAAGAAGAAGAAGAAGATTATCACATCAAAAGGAAAATGAGACCCTCCAAAAGTTCAAGAACATAAATTGATTAGTCAAATGAACTACGATGGCATGGTACGATGCGTAAATATTAGTCAAACGAAGGGCAAAAAGCTAAATTCAATTTCGGATTCACATCCTATTGTGGTATCCCGCGTCGCCTACAAGCCGGAAAACAGATAGAAAAGTGAGAAAGCGCCACTCAGCTCGCTGTCTCCCTCACCCACCCTCTTCCGCATCGTTCTCGGGTCGGCGATTTGTCTCTCTCTTCTGCTAAGTTTGAGGATCTAACCATGCGCTCCCTCGATCCCAACCCGTTCGACGAAGAAGAAGTCAATCCCTTCTCGGTAATCTCTCTCTTTCTTCCTCTCCCAACTTCTGTCTGATACTTATTTATAGTAATTGGCAGATCCGGCCTATTTTTCTTGGACTCTTTTAAAATTGTTAGAGTGCGTAATGCGTGCATGAAATGCTTGAGTTGTGGTTGCTAGATCTTCGCAAGTGCTCAGATTTTAGGGATGTTTTTAAAATTATTTTAATTTGTTATTGAGCCTGATTTGGGTGATATGTACCTTGACCTGGATCTGGAAACCGAATTATCAGCTCTGGTCCGGGTGTAACGTGATTTCCGCGTTTCCCCGTTTTGGATGTGGATATACTTGAGAAAGAGTATGCGACATGGACACTAAGATGACTAGTTTCGGCGAAGCTCATCCGAGAAAAATGTGGATGTTTCTGGTCTCGAAAAATATGGGTAACGATCTCAATTCTGGTGTGTCTGAGATGCTTCGCTGAGCGAATGCACCTACTGGAATGAGGTGCAAACGGACTATTCGTTGCTCGGTCACTGTGACAGCGTTAATGATTGATTATTGACACCTCAGCTTTTTCGGTTGTTGGAGAATCTGAGAATATGACAGAGCTTGAATGACAATATAATTTTTTATTTGTAGTATCAGAACAATTGATTAAGGATGTTTTGTTTGGTAGAATAAGCTAACTTTTTTAATCTTTTGAAAAATATTTTTTATTTGGGATCGCAGAAAAAAATGATTGAGTATTTTTAATCTTTTGTTTTTGTTTTTTAACTTCTGAATCGTTCGTAATGATTGAAGTGATCTCATCGTTTTGTCAGCTCTACATGCAACTAAGCATTGCACGGGGCACATAGTGGTGGTTCAACTTAAAATTTACATTAATGATTCTGTCTCCTGGAAATGTACGAGAAATCAATGTTGGATTTGCTATTAATTGTATAGACGGGATGGTGATATTCTGAACATGTTCTGTGAACGGCTAATTTGGAAATGGACGGGGACTGACTACTGAGTTGTTTGGGTGCATGCCACAAAGGAAAGGGAAGGAAATTAGTTTACGAGGTGTAGATTTGTAAGCCATCTGTGCCTTTCAAGATTTTGATTTTAATTTTAATGTATGATATTGGGAATTCATAGACTTAACTTAAAATCTTCCTTAATTAAAATTATTCAATGACAATTTTACTGTTTGAAAATGCACTATTTGGAGGAAGTGAAAATTGTAGCAATGTTGACCTTCAATTATTCAACACAAGGTAGTCTAACTTGTCTCACCCAAATGATTTTTAGACTGAAGTATAAGCCAGTAAGGGGGAGAAGAGACGATGTGATTCTCTTGCAGAGAAGTGAAAATGGAAAAGCAAAATTGGACATATTCTACTTTTTAAAATCCTGGTTAGTTTGCAGTATTTTTTTTTTTTAATTGAATGAGCTATAGTGCAAATCATGGGTTTTTCTTTTTAAAAAAAGTTAATTTTCCAATAATCCAAAATTTGACAAGACCTCTTGCTAATTCTTTAGGGCAGAAAAATTGCTATAATATTCTTTTTCATGGGAAAAAGTTTCCTTTATTATTATTATTATTTTTTTTTTGGGAGAGGGGTGTAATTATTGGTGCTGAGCACTTAGTGATCATCCTATTCTGTATTGAATGTTTCGTTCCATTTCATTTAAGTCTCGACTTGATGCTTATAGAATCTTTTTGTTGGGCAAAATCTTGCAGAATGGTTCTGGTGCCCCTGGATCAAAGTTACGTGTTCCTCCAGCGGCATCTGAGCCACTTGGCTTTGGCCAACGTCATGATGCTACGGTGGATATTCCATTAGAGAATACAAATGTAATGTTATTGCAAATGCAGAGTTGCTCTTCAAGTTTCCGCTTTTTCTGGGGGGCTAAATTTTTTCTTTGGTGTTTGCATAGGTCTCTAAGAAAAGGGAACAAGAGCTTGCAACTTGGGAAGCAGATCTCAAAAGGAGAGAGCAGGTTAGTATCTCAATTTTTTGAAGTCAAAAAATTTTATACTACTTATATTAGTTAACTGCCTACAAGTTCAAGTTCTTGCTTATGTTATGGACTACATAACTGTGCTGGATCCTTGCTTTTGACTGTCATATGACTTTCTAAATGCACATGCAGGAAATCAAAAGAAGAGAAGATGCAATTGCCAGATGTAAACACTGAGGCTTGAGTTTATGACATGCAATCCTTTTGGTTGACTGTCTTGTCACACTTCTAGATTTATGCTGAGTCAATAACTTACTTTTTTGTGCTCATCAGCTGGGGTTGTTGTTGACGACAAGAACTGGCCTCCATTTTTCCCAATAATTCACCATGACATAGCCAATGAGATACCTGCTCATGCCCAGAGGCTGCAATACCTGGCATTTGCGAGTTGGTTAGGTATGGGAAGTTGAAATTGTTCATCTGTTTATTTATTTGTTTGCATTTATATGTTGTTTTCTTAATGGTTTCGCCCTGAACTTTCTTAATATGGTTATAACATGGTTCTGCACATTTTCTTGTTTTATCTGTAAATGCAGTTCTTCCATTAACTGGTGGATTGCCTCTGTTTTTGCTATTTGAATTTGAATTCTATAAATTCTGGTATTTCTTTTATTTCTCTGCAGTTTGGGTTCGTCAGTAGCCCTTGTGGAACTTTTTCTTACTTTTTCTCTCTCTCATAAGTCATGACTGCTGCTTCTTTATGCTTGTTTAAGTTATAGAACTTTCCCATGCAATTTTTGATTTGAGAATCTAATTCTGATCTCGATTATTTTTTTCTTAAATATTTACAGGGATTCTTCTGTGTCTGGTTTTTAATGTAGTTGCTGTGACTATCTGTTGGATTAGAGGCGGTGGTAAGCTTATATCTACAGTGATACTTTTAAATTTGGATGCTGCCAAGTCTCTGGTTTGTGATGCAATTTGGACCTAATGTTTGAAATTTAAATTTGCAGGTGTTAAAATTTTTTTCCTCGCGGTAATTTATGCTCTGCTTGGAGTCCCTCTTTCATACGTGCTTTGGTACAGGCCCCTTTACCGTGCTATGAGGTAAACTGGAGTGTCGCCATTTTTTTTTTCCCTCACTAACCTTGTTGTCATCCTATTTGCAGACGATTTAATTGTGTAGTTTTATGATTGGTATGATTATTCTTCCTTCTTTAGCATAATTGGAGGAAGAAAATGTAGTAAGAACGTATTGACACCATATGTTTTAGTTCTGGAATAAAAAGGGTTAAATGGGCGAAAAGAAGAAAAGTAAGCAAACATGAAAAGAGCATAGGCATAAGTTTCTGTTTATTTAGTAAAAGGAAATGCTTAGCAAGCATTGGATTGTGCACAATTATTGTTGTTTATGGTTGTTTGTTTATGATATGCAGGACAGATAGTGCACTTAAGTTCAGTTGGTTTTTCCTGTTTTACCTGGTATGTTAATCTGTCACATAATGCTGGTATTCTCATTGATAAATGATTTGCTAGTCCTGTTAATTGCTTTGGGATGATGCAGCTGCATATTGCTTTTTGTGTTGTTGCTGCGATTGCACCTCCAATTGTCTTTCATGGAAAGTCATTCACGTAAGATAAATGCCACCTCTCTGTTTCAAGTTGTGTTGGTTCTGTTAATCTTTGCTTGTGTCTTGTGTCGAGTATAATTATATTATTATGTTTTAAAAAGCCATGATGTGTTGGTTCATAACTGTCGACAAGTTTTTACCATGACTATTGATATTTTCTAACAAAAAATTGGCTTGAATAAGCTTATCTGACAGCGTGAAGATAATCATTTTTACAAGATAAGGAACATGAGTGTTATAAAGTGAAAAAATTTGGCATACTTAGCAGCACTACACATTGTGTGGGAATGCAGATGTATGAAAATTATAAAGTGGCAGTTTTATTTATTTTTTTCCTTTTTTTTTTTTTTGGTCAGGGACTGCTGCATTTCCAAAATCTGTTATTTTGATGTAAAAACGCTACTCACCTGTACTAACTGTTATAAGAATCTATGTTTTGTTTATTGCTTTTAACTTATGGCCAACCTTTTACTTGTTCCAGTAAATGGTAGCTTATAATGCCTTGAGCATATATTTCTTTTCTGTTAACGTGAGTTTATTATCTTAATCGTATGATTTCAGCGGCATTCTTTCAGCAATTGATGTCTTCTCAGACCATGTGTTTGTTGGGGTAAGTTGTATCAGATATGCACATATTAGTATTTATTCTCTTGGGTATAGTTATCTCTAATGGATGTACAAGACTTGTCAGTTATCACTGTTTTAATATTTATGACTTATGACAAGCATTAACGCGTGGACAGAAGTCATTTCTAATTCATACACTGATCCTGAATATTTTATTTTGACAAATTAGATGCATTTACCGATTCACTTATGGAAATGTCTTTCAAACCTACTTATCATATATTTAGAATTTAGTGTTTTAGATGGACTGAGCCATGAAGGCTGTTAGCCTTCTCAGGTTTGTCTAGCCTTTTTCCCATGGAAGAATGATCTGATGCATGAACAAATGACAAGGATAGTTGATGTTGATGTGGTGAGGTTCGGTAAACGTGGGGTTTTCATTTAGTTGAGGTTCGGTAAACATGTGGAGACTGGAAATTTATGGTGCTAGACTGCATGATGCGACTGGTGCCTTTATTCTGTAAGGTATCAGTTTGGTGTTGCATTAAGGGGGTGTTTGGCTAACCCCATAAGTGTTTTTCAGAAGCATTTTTCCGTAAATCGAGACAAACTCCTCTACATATTTACTTCGTATACCGTAAAAGCACTTCTGAATCTATAATTTTGTTCTTCTCCAAACACCCCCCAAGACATTGTTGCTCAAGAACAATTTGAATACCCTTGAAAATTGTAAGATATTGATGAAGTGCTTTTTGAAGCGTGATAGGACTAGTTGAAGTTGCGGGGGGAAAAAATTCAAATTGCATTTGCTAGAATATTGTTTTCGATAGGACTAGATGAAGCTACTGGGGAAAAACATTCAAATTGCGTTTGTTAGAATATTGTTTCAAACTTTGCACCATAGCAATAATCAGGTGCCGTCACCTTTTGTGTATTCTTATCCTATTCTTGGTATTGCTGCAGATTTTCTATTTGGTTGGATTTGCCTTGTTCTGCTTGGAGACTCTTCTAAGCTTGTGGGTGCTCCAGGTGAGGAACAGAATGTTAACATTTTAAGGCATAGGGTTTGGTTTTCTTCTGCTTTTCAGTCAACAATGAGATAATTGATAGATGTATTAGTCTACGCTTTGTCCTTCTCTGCAAAACTGCTTGGGAGACTGAAAATTTTATCTAAAAATTACGTATTTTCTTTTTTCTCGACAAAACTACCGAGTTGACGTAGAGTGAGATTGTCCGTTGCTCATGAGTAGCTGTTAGCCTGAAGATAAGCTAAGCTGAGATTCTTGTGCGCTATAATTTTGTTGGGAATATGTTTCTAATGATACGGCGAGAGATGATTGTTTTCTTTTCTTTCTTGCATGCAGAAAATTTACATGTATTTCAGGGGGAACAAGTGAGGATTTACTTCCAGGTTTCGATCCAATGGCCTCTATACCGTCAGTCACTTCCCAAGGTGGCTTGAAAATTTTTGCCCCTTTCTCTATCATTTTTCTTTCATGCATCCGTACCCTCTTTTCAAACATAGTCGTTGTTTCTGTGTGTATTGTAGTGACTACATTAGACATTAGTTTGTAATGAAAATAGCCGGAGGTTTTGTATCTCTTCTCGTTATTTTATTTTTTTTAAAAAAGAAACCCTCCTGCCTCCCCTCCCCTCTTATTGAAAATTTATGGATGTGGATACTCTCAACTGAGCCTTAATTGATGAACATTAACCATAAAATTGTGATGTACTATCTCTGCTCTTTAATATCAAAGTTGGTTTGACTTTTAATTTGATCTTAAATATAATATTTCAATTCACTTTAGCTTTTATATTTATTTATTTTTTTAAGTTAATCTTTGTAGTAGTTGTACATGTTAAAGATTTTATCAAATGGTAATATTAGTTAATATACTTGATTAGTAAGGATATTTTAAAAAAGATCACTTATTTATTATAAACAACTAATTTAATTAAATTTTTTTAATCTATTTAAATCAGTCAACTAATTTAGATACAAGATAAGGACATTTATTTATTTATTTATTTTAAAAGTGAGTTTATAACACCTTATCGGAGGGATCCAAATCCAAGCTTTATCGCGTGTACAATGGATAAATCCAGCATTTATTAGTTATTCAGGTTCATAATTTTATTTATTTTTATAATTAAAAAAAAAAGACCATTGTAATGACTTCTTTTCAGGGATAAGTCACCATGCGTTTTACTCGTTAAAACGAATCCACCATGTCAGTTTTTATCACCCCCGTCATCTCATGTTCATTGTTAATTAGATTTTACACTAAAGCGCATAAGATATTAACCTTTTATTTCATTTGAGGAAAAGAGAAAGGAGATAAGAGATTTTAATGTGTGTAATTAAAAAAAAAAATATAGTGTTATAAAGTTTTAATTAAAAAAATGTAATAAGAGAGAAAATCAATTAAAATTTTTTAACTTCATTTCTTTTCTTTTCTTTTTTGTGAAATTGAATTCATTCAAATTTTTCCGTCCATGCCATCCTCTTGCTTCTGCTCATAATCAGTAAGGTTTTCTTTGGATTTTAACTTTACAAAGGATAACATTCTGTATAATATTTTCAATGTCAGAAAAATAAATAACACTACCTCCGGTATAGAAAAGAAATGAGTTTTATGCATATTATTTGTCAACAACAATAAATATATAAAGCTAAACATCGTTTTTTTTTCTGACCAGCAAAGCTACACATAGTTTATTTTAATAATATGGCATTTAAGAAATGAATTGTATAAGCCACGTAATATTAGTTTAGGTGGCAAGAGTGAGGTGAGATATAGGCAGAGGATAAGTATTTAAATCTATTTTTATGTAATATAAAAATGAGTTGTACTATTAATAATTTATGAATATTGTGATTGTAATTGTAACATGTTGTAATATATTTATAAATTAATCAATAATTTAATTTTTTTTTTTGGGAACGTAAAAGATGGAGTTTCAAATATACTGGAAATAAAAAACAGAAATTCTATATTCATTCTTATCGCAAATATTCCTCACCTGTGCTTTGTGATTTAAACCCAAGCTACGAGCCATGTTGCACACTTCTTGTTCCATTCTTTCTGAAGGATTTCTTATGTATTGATCACTGTGCTGGAATATAAAACTAAGCTCCCTTCTAAGAAAAAGAATATAACTATCACTCAAATTAAAAAACTATTTGTAGAACAAGTAATTCAGTCCAAATAAAACCTTTCAATTATTCCTTTATAGGTGAAGAAGAGCATTAATTCTTAGAATGTATTACTCTACGCGGCAAGGGTTAAGGTATATACCTTGTCATCCTTAAATTCCATATCGCCCATCCCACTGACTTTCAAGAATTCTGACATTTGTTATCACGATGCATAATATTACAAACAAACTATGGTCATATATATGACAGCAGAGACATGAGGAAATAAATAAAAAGATCCAATTTTTGGTGAAATTGAGTATCACATTTTGGGGGTTATGAAGCATATGCTTATTTACTTTAAATCCATCAATACCTTTGGATTTGTGATTTCATTCCCTTTTTTGGGCTTTTTTTGACTGTTTGAGAGGTTTGTGTGGTCCTTCATGAATTTGCCTTCAAGATAGAGAGATCCACGTGCTTGCTTGCTACTACAACTACAACTACTAACAATAACAGTGAAGGAAACCATAAACAGGCACATAGAGTGGGAGCACTAGTGTCCAAAGTCTAATTGGATGGCTTCTATATCTGCTTCATTTCTCACCCTTAACCCCTCATCCTCAAACAGCCACCATCTTCATGCCACGTGGCACTGCTGATATCCGAATTGCTTCTGATAACCTCTCCTTGATGACTTCTGTCACAGCTCATATAAGCCATATAACCCAAGGAATTCTTTTTCATTTTGGAAATGAATAAGTGACGAGAAATATCTCCCACCAATTCTCTTTTTGTCAAAGTTAAAACGGTGATGAAAAGACGTCTTTAGCCTTTATAGCTTTGAAATGACCTCCTTATCAGTCCAAAAACAAGGGGTAGCAGTCACAATTCTAATTTTTTGCCAAGTAGCCTTGACCTCTAATTTTATTTGTGTTCCAAACTCCTCCTCCTCCTTGGAATGTTATCCCCAAACTCTCACACTAATCCTCAAAATTCTTAAACTCACTCCCTCTCTCTCATTCCTCTTAAGTTCTTCCTCCTAAGAGAGACAGAGAGAGAGGGAGACTGAGAGAGAAAATGGCAGCTTGCACAGTGTACACAACACAATCTCTCAACACAAATTGTTCCTTCACAACCCGATCAAAAACCCACCTGGGTTTTCACCAAAAACAGGTTCTTTTCTACAGAAGCAGAACCAGCAGCAACAACAATAGCAGCAGCAGACGATGGGTGATAACATGCGCTGCAGGTGACTCACAGACAGTGGTGATTGGTCTAGCAGCAGACTCAGGATGTGGGAAAAGTACCTTCATGAGGAGGCTTACCAGTGTGTTTGGAGGCACAGCAGAACCACCAAAAGGAGGGAATCCAGATTCCAACACACTCATAAGTGACACAACCACTGTGATATGTTTGGATGATTATCACTCACTTGACAGAAATGGAAGGAAAGAGAAGGGAGTCACAGCACTTGACCCAAGAGCCAACGATTTTGATCTCATGTATGAACAAGTTAAGGCCATCAAGGAAGGAATTGCTGTGGAAAAACCCATTTACAACCATGTCACTGGTCTCTTGGACCCACCTGAGCTCATCAAGCCACCCAAGATCTTGGTCATCGAAGGCTTGCACCCAATGTAAGTACCACCATTAATTCTTGATCCGATCTTTCAACAAACTTGTGTTTTTCTTCATCCTTTTGAGTGATTTTTAATGTAAGATGGAAGGGAAACTTTTAGAGAACCAGGTGCCGGTGAGGATGATGGAGTTTATTACATTTGTTTCGGAGGTTGTCTGTGAGGGATTAAGATAGAGTGGAAGCCCGAGAGATACGGGTGGCTGAAGGAGAAGATACCTTATCTATATATGATGGATTTTGTATGGACGAGGAATTGCTAGCGACTTTGCAACCTTATCATGGTGGGCCACCATATATACGTGTGGTCCTTGTCACCTTGATATGGATGTATAAGTATCTTTTGATGCAATGCCCCTATCAGTTTTTGGGACATGGGTTATACAATCTTTCACGACAACATTTTCAAGGTGTACAAAGTAGAACACACTAACATCGTCTGAGTCTTACGTGGACGGCATAGAATAATTGGAAGACCCAAAAAAAAAAAAAAAAAACTGCGTGTGTCTTCATATATTTATGATCCGTTGGATTATTATTATATTTCGGTTCGACATCCACTATTGGCTTCAGAGAACCAAAATTTTTTTCCGAATAAGTAGAATGTTTGAACTTCCTTAACTTTTGGGTCAAGCTCTGAGATACTTTTTTATTGGTCATATTTAATATTTTATTTTTGTCGCGAAATTATGCCATCTTCAAAGACTTAGTTTGGGTGACTAATAAAATGGAATTAAAGGATGGAGATATTTGCAAAATAAAGATGGTGTAAGTTTTGACATGAAAATTTTGTTGGTTGTGGTAGGTTTGATCCTCGTGTCAGAGAACTATTGGACTTCAGTATCTACTTGGACATCAGCAATGAGGTGAAATTCGCCTGGAAAATTCAGGTGAAAGCACTAAAACACATTACAAATTGTTCATCAACTCAAAAGCTTAAAACTTTGCAATTTTTGCTTATTTGGATCTAACAATTATTGCAGAGAGACATGGCAGAACGTGGGCATAGCCTCGAAAGCATCAAAGCTAGTATCGAAGCAAGAAAACCCGACTTCGACGCTTATATTGGTAAACAAAACTTACATTTATATATCTGTCAAGTTCAAAACTATATAGATAGATTTTCAAGCACTTGAAAAAATGAAGATACCAAAATGACTTGGGTGTGATTGTGGTGGTGGATTCAGATCCTCAGAAGCAATATGCAGATGCAGTGATAGAAGTGTTGCCAACACAATTGATACCAGACGATAATGAAGGGAAGATATTGAGAGTGAGATTGATACAGAAAGAAGGGGTTAAGCATTTTAGCCCAGTTTACTTGTTTGATGACGGCTCTACCATTTCCTGGATTCCTTGTGGAAGGAAGCTCACTTGCTCTTACCCTGGCATCAAATTCTTCTATGGTCCTGAAACTTACTATGGTCATGAGGTATGTTTACCAACTCCTTTAGAGAAGCTTGTGATATTCTTTTCTTTTTTTTTGTAAATTACTCATTCTCATTCTTAATATAATAATTAGATAACTAATTTGTGAATATTAAAAAATTATTTAAATTAGTTATTTGAAAGCAATGCACTTCTTAATATAACAACTAAATAACTAATTTGTGAATATTAAAAAAATTAATTAAATTGGTTATTTGTAATAAATTTATATTGGTTTATGTGGAATATTATTTCTAATTATAAATCATTACTCTTGATAGAAAACCCTTATGGTGGGCAACCATTAGGAATATTTTGGAGAAAAGTTATAAATTTAAAAGACAAAATAGATTAAAATTTTATGTTATGATTAAAGTGAATTTTTTATCTAACTCTTATATTTAGACTTGAAGCAATACTTTGAAAACCTCTTAATAATATATACAATTTTGGGCAAATATATTGATAACCTTTTTAATGCATACATTCTCTCTCATTTAAGTATTTCTCCTTTACACCCCCCCAAAAAAGTATATTTACACTATTTAATGAAAAGAGTATGAATAACATGGTACTCGGAATATGTAATAATTTCTTGTGAAATCTGCTATATAACCAGATTCTGAACTATTATTCTGAGTATCAATCTAAAGGTTTGTGATATTATGCAGGATGAGGTATCCATATATGTATCTTTTTCAGCTCGCTTCACCCAATAACTTGAGTGTCTTTTTGGCTTTCTTTTGTCATGTGTATGCTATAGGTATCAGTTGTAGAGATGGATGGGCAGTTTGACAGACTAGATGAGCTAATATACGTTGAGAGCCATCTAAGCAACCTGTCAACCAAGTTCTATGGAGAAGTTACACAACAAATGTTGAAGCATGCGGAATTTCCCGGCAGCAACAACGGCACAGGTCTTTTCCAAACCATAGTTGGCTTGAAGATCAGAGATCTGTTTGAGCAGATTGTAGCAAGCAGGTCTCAGACACCAGTAAAAGCAGCTAAAGCTTAAAAAAAAAAAAAACTGCCTTCTGTAAACATGTTGGAAGAAGGCATGCAATGAATCCTTAAAATGAGTTCTTTTCATGTTTTGCACTTCTTCCTCCTGTGTCTCCTATGTTGTTTTTCTGGTCTTGGGCTGTTCCTCTTGTTAATGAGAACCGTTCTGCATGTACTTATTTGATCTGTTGTAACTCATGACATAGAGAAGCAAAAGTAGAGATGAGTTTTCGGTTTATAAGTCCACAGAAGAGTGAAACTCGCTTTTCTTTTTATCTACTCCAGTTATTTCTATGTATTATATTTTTTCTTAATGGGTATTGAACTCTGTCTACATGAATGTTATTTAAATAAGAATGGAAACAAATAATTTGAAAGGCCCAGTAACTTTACACGCATTAATTCAAAATTTGAAGAACTCTTCCAGCGGTATAACTTTCACATCACCACCAATAACCAATACGTAGGCCACTATTTGCTCAGAGCATGAAAAGTTTGAGATTTTATATGATCTTGAGCCTAAAATTAATTGCATAATCATGACATGCATCATATTTAAGGAAAATTTTCTCAGGGGAAAAGAACAGTTTATGATGCTTAAATGAAGATCTATCAGCAAAACGGTAATTTAAAATAAAAAAACTCAAATTCAATTCAAGAAGGAAAAATAAAATAAGAAAACAGAGTAAAAACAAAGAATAATTGAATAGCTACAGCCTATATATAATAAAAAATCATCTTATTATCTTTTTACAACCAAGAACTTGATAGAAAAGCATGTGTCCCCAGAATTCACAGCACATACAGATTCCAGAGTTCCACCGGGTGAGAATCAAGTCCTATCAACCATGCCTACAAGTATATCAAACAGACACATGTTTGCAGCATTGGTCAAATCAAACAATTGTACCTCATGTGAGGAAAATTGCGAAAGATGGGAGGTAGGACTACTGTAAAAGATTAAGTTCACTTAGTTGGATGGGTTTTTCTTCTGGAAAAGAACATGGCAATCTTTGATGACAATGACTTCTTCTTCTTTTTGGTCTTTGTTTCTAAGGATGGTCCAGTGCCCTTTTTGTTTGTAGGTTGGTCCAATTTTTTGGGTTCTTGCTTTCCATCAGAACCAGACTTGGAATCTTTGTTCTGATTTACTGTTCCTTGGGTTTCTTCACTGGCATTTCTTCGTTGCTCTTGGTCAGCCCTCCAAGTTCTCAACTCTTGTTCTACACCTAATTTTCCTTCCTTTGCCTTCTCAGCTTTCTCGGTCACTTCCTTCAGCATTTTCCTTCTTTCAGCCAACTCTTGATTTAATTCTTCCAACCTCATCAAGCTTCTCAATTCAGACTCCTTAGCCATATCAATCTGAGAATTAGCAGCCAAAATCCTCTTATTGGCTTGCTCATTTGCTTCATGGGCAAGCTTACAGAGATGATCATATTGCTCCATTGAAAGTGTCACCTCAGAGGGAGATTCTGCATTACTGTTGCTTCTAGCTGATTCACTCTCTTGCAATGCTTTACTTGCTTCCATTGCTGACTTTTCAGAAGACTTGACAGCCTCTAGCTCCTTTTGTGCTGCAAGTAGTCTACTTTCCATCTCATTTGCTTTGGCCTTTGCTTGTTCAGCCTCTTCCTTTGCTTTCTGCAGCCTTAAATGAGCTTCCTGAGCAAGCATCTTTGCCTGATCAGCCTCTTGGGCTGCCTCTTCCAGTTTCTCAGGCAGCTCAATCATCTTCTCTCTGGCTTCTTTCTCCTTCTTCTGAACCAAAGCTACTTCAGATTGAGTTCTGTCAAGTTCATCTTTGAGAGATGCAACTGCAGCAGACGCCATTTCCTCCCTTTGCCTAATCACGGCACTAACAGATTTTTCCTCTTCAAGTTCTGATTTTAACGATAGGGAAGCTACCCTCAAGTAGTTAACCTCAGCAGTTTCTTTTGCTATTTTGCGTTTTACTTCCTCAAGTTCCTTTCTTTGTTCTTCATCATACTGCTGCTTCAATTTTGTCTCTTCTAGTTTGACTTTCAAATCAAGCAGTAAAGAAGAAGATGCATCCAGTTTTGATCTGAGATCTCCAACCATGGCTGCTCTTGTTCTTTCTGTCTCAAATTTTAAGTTGTTGGTTTGCGTGGACTCCAATGACTCCTTAGTAGTAATGAACTCAAGAGCCAAATCTTCCACTGTCTTCTCAACCTTTTTAGATTCAGCAACAGCCTCTTCAGCTTCTTTAATAGCTTTCTCACTTTCAATCACCATAGAAGCAAAATCCTTACGCAGTGATTCCAGTTCCTCTTCTATGGCTTTCAAATCTGAAACTGCAGCTGCATGCATGGCTTCATCAATCTCAAGTTGAGCCTTAGCAGCAATACTAGCTTCATTTTCGATGTTCTGCTCCATCTCTTGAACTTTGAGCCTCATAAGTTCTGAATCTTGCTTAGCCTGATGTTCCTCCTTTTGTGCCTTCTCAAGGCTGAGTTTCAATTCATCTATAAGTTTCAAAGTCCTTCCCAAATCCTCATTAGGTAGTTGGTTCTCCTCTGATTTTTCAAGTTTTGCTTCTGCAAACCTGATCCTCTGTAAAAACAGGAAACAAATAGTGGTTCTTGATATTCAACCTCAATGTTGCTCACACAAAAATTCAACCTCAATGTAAACTGAACCAAAATTGTGTTCATCCCATGAAAGTACGAATATATGCTAAACCTTTGAGGATGTAAATACCAGGCCGAAAATGTGATTTCAGTATCTTAACTCTGCATCAAGTTCCATTTTTAACTTATACTTCAATTTTAATTGATTCATATACCGTCTTTGCTATTCAAATGCCATCAACTTTACAAGGCAAACAAAATAGCAAAGAGATTTATTTCCGAATGACTTCTTAAATTTAATGTGTTAAGCAAATGGAGCGAGGTGTAAACCCCAAAAAGACGAAATACATTTAAAAAAACCAAAAAGTAAACAGAACTAAAAGCAATCAACCGCGTAAGTCAGATATACCTCCATACTCATGGCTCGATTGGCTCTCCAGTCTACAGTTCCTCCAAATTTGGAAACAGCTTCTTTGACAGATTGGAAAGGTGCTGCTGTATCAATAACGCGTTTCTTCGCATTGACATGATCAGAAGGCTTTGGAGAAAACTCTGTTCCCACTTCCCCAGCAGCCTGATCAACAATAATTGAGGGTTCCGAAAGTGGCATCTCTTCAATAATTTTCACACCATCCATTTCAATTTAGCACCTGGGATCTCCTGAAGGATGGTCTGAAACCCAAGATAAATATCTATAAAACGCAGAGATTCAAGGAAAGAATCATTTACCAACAAACAATTGCTTCAGAAGAAGAAAAACGATGTTCAATAACAAATAAAATTAACTAAAAATGAATGAATGGGAAAAAAAATTCCATTGTGCTCCAGCAGTGGCCTAAATATCAATGTAATGTGAGAGAGTATAATTTTGTGCCATTCTACCGTTTCTATGCGTGGTAAAATAATAAGAATTCAACAACACAAATATGACAAACGATAAGACCGTCCTCATCAATATGAAAATTCGTATCATATCCAATATCAATACTAAGTATGTGTTTTTTTGCAATCAGGCTGATGCTATAACACAATTCTGAAGATAGGTGATAGCTTCGACGTAGTACACAAAAAAATAAAGGACAGAAAGCCAAGAAAAAGGTAGTAAAAGAGACCTTGGACTTGGAAGGAAAGAGAACCCAGAATGCAATAGAAATGGACGAGCTAGAGAAGAGAGGTAATTATAGCGAAGCGGATCCCAGAAGAAGCAATGTGGATAAGGAGAAGCATGGAAACTTCTCCTCCGCTGTCAGGCGACGAACAAGGAAAGAACAACGCAGCGCGATAGGGTTTGTTGATCCGCCTCCAACTCAGAAAGACGATCACCTTCGCCTAAAATGGCACCTCTACGACAACAAATTGGCCTTCCTACACGTGTTGGGTCTTCATTCTTCCTCCTCCTTCCTCCACCACCCTTCACGTTCATGGTAATCTCCCGCCTTCTAAAATTATCACCAGAATTCTCGTGGAATCAGCTCTGACTTTTGACCACTACTTCTCATGTCTCACGTTGAACTAACCAACGATTTAGAACATAATTATTCCTTCTTTTGATGAAATGAAAGAAACACGTCATTCATTACATTCAGCCCAAAAACAGAAATGTATTTTTGAGAAAATTAATTCTATTTCACAACATTTTCAAAATACCAAATTGATTTGATAGAGTAATTTGATATTTTTAATATGGAATCATTAATTTGTCATTTATAAATTTTAAAGATATTTTCTTATCATTTTTCCTAAAATTAAGGGAAAATATGTAAGCATATTAATACTACCTCTAATCCTCAACGGGTCCGTTTGGATCAGCGATTAGAAAAGTAGCTTATTAAAAAAGTAGTTTAAGGAGAAGTGAAGTTGGGTAAAAAAAAAGTGAAGTTGGGTAAAAACTAAATTAGATAAGCTAAATTGTGTTTGGATTGGAGTTCAAAAAAGCTAGTTTGTAAAAGTGAGATTAGTAAAAGGTTATTTGAATTATGGTTGAGTAAAAGTAAGTTTGGTTGTAAAATAACCAAAATAGGTATGAGTTTTAATAAATAATGAAACATGATTAAAAAAAATGATTTCACATAATACAATAAAATTAAAATTTAATGAGTGAATTAAATTTTAAAACTTTAGAAAAATCATAAAAAGTATTTTAAATATAAAGTGAAATGTGATAAACAAATAAATTGAAATAATACAATTAATTTAATTTAATTTAATGTAAAAAAGTAAAATTTAATAAGTAAATTAAAATTGAAAATATAAGAAAAATAAAAAAAAATTACTGCCAATGGTTGTGAATTATGGAAGATCGTAAAAAAGGAAGAACATATAAGCTCTTAAAGTGATCCAATAAGCTACAAAATGGAGTTTGAACCTGAACGTACGTTTTCCAGCTTAAAAAACATAAGCTACTTTTTTATTTAAGCCCAGCCAAACACCTATCTATTTTCCAATCAGACTTATAAGTGAAATAAACTAATTTTGAGCCCACAAAAGCCCTGCTAAACAGGCTCAATATAAAAACTAGTTGACTAATTTAAATAGATTAAAAAAGTTTATTAAGTTAGTTATTTGTAATAAATCAATGTTGTCTTTTCTAAAATACATTTACTGATCATGTGTGTTAGCTAAAATTATTATTTGATAGAATATTTAACATGTGCAATTATTATAAAGATTACTTTGAAAAAAAAAAAGATAAATATGAGAGACAAAGTAGATTGGAATCTTATATTTAGAACCAAATTAAAAGTCAAACTAACTCTTATGCAAAAGATAGAAAGTAGTATACTTCTCCATTAAAAGTTTACATGCTTGTTCATTATTTGCTTTTGTTATTATTGTTGTTATTATGCACACCCGGTCTAAATCAATTTAAGGCATAAATTAACATCAAAATAAGAAACTGTTTGCACAGTTTATTACACAAATGAACGGATGGCTTATTACATGCAACGAGGTTCTTAGAAAAGGATGGCTCTGTAAATTAGTGTTGTCGTCTCTGACAATGCCTCAGGCGGTTTACAAGAGTGGAGATGCTGGAGCCCTCAGATTCAGCCAACAACAGCAAGCAAGCTTTGCCTAACAACAGGAATGGAGCAAAGAATAGATCCAAAGATACCGTTCAGACCATAAGCAATGGCACAAAATGGCAGAGCCTCAGGTTCCTTCGCAGACAGTGCTGCAGTTCCAAGTCCATGAGCACTGTTTTAAATCATTCAAGAGGTTTGTGTCAGAGAAAGTGTTTCAAAATTTTCTAAATAAAAAGTAAGTCTGTAATTTCAATGACACTTCAAGAAGGTCATTATAATTCAGTTTCCCTTTTATAACCCAGTTCTCTTCAGCACGCCATAATCTTAATGAAAAACCTCAGTTTTCTCTTTCTGTGCAACCACTAATCAGCTAAGATTAAAAAGGTCGCCTCGGAAACATGCTGAGCATGATTCAGGAAGGAAAAGCATTGATAACCTCAGTCTATGAAATATTAGAAGAGATGTTTTTGGACGAGTATGTGTGATTATGAATTACAGAATATACCTCGATGCAGTTGCAATTCCTCGAGCGATTGGATCGCGAAAACGAAATTTATCAAGCGTTGCTTGCACAAAATTTGCCCCAACCAGACCAGTTACTACAACCACAGCTGCTGTCAGAGATGAATTGGTACCTACAAGCAACGGGAGCAAATTTTAAATATAGAACCTCAAAGCACAATGGTGATCAAGATATGGTTTCAGGGCAGACATAATATGTACCTTCAAATAAAGACACAATGCTAAGGGCCAATGCAACAGTTATACATCTGGGTAGAATGGAAACGGTCAAAGATTGCTCTAATCCCACGAGACGTCCGACAAGAGCAGTTGAGTACAATGAGAATACAGTTGCGACTATAACGGAGGTGAAGATCTCAGCTGCATGCCTTTTTACAAGCTGGAAATAATATACCAATCAACAGGATGGCTTGGCCACATTAAGGAGAGAGGCGATTTTTTTTTTTTTTCCAAACTCCATTTCATTGCTGCATTACTGCATTTATTTCATTTGAAAACTAGATAGTTACCTTTCTTTGTTTGAACATAGAGAAGGCAAAAGAGAGAATGACAGATCCCAAAAATCCCATTAAAATGTCACCAGCTCCAGGGTTAGAGGATACCTTCGTAAGGTAATATCCTGTGTGTAGAAAGAAGAGTCACAAAACAAAATAATAAAAAATATATTTTTCTGAAAGCCAGACTCAGACTCACACATTGCAGGCATAGGATTTTAAAACTTCAAAACAAATTTACGTTACCATACTAAATCTTTTATAAATTTGCATCACTTTCAGCCTAGAGTAATAGTAAACCGAGTTAGCTGGATCTAGTTCAAAAGTCCCCCTTGACAGATTTTCTTTGAAAAGCTAAATGATGCAGTTTTTTTTTTTTAAAGAAAAAATTATGATCAATTCACCATCCAACTTAGCAATAAACTAGAAATTACAATCATAAATCATAAAGTATATGCAGGAGTAGTTGTATTTCTACTGAATCATCCTGAATTTAAATATCTTTTAATAATTTAGTGAGTTAAGCAGTTAGCATTAAATACCTAGAACAGGCTCAAACCCCAACTTCGAAGCATATCCAAAAGCCAAAGCTGTCACATCTGCTGAAAGTGCACAGCAAATGATTGGATGTAATACTTTCTTCATATCTGATGGCAACCTGGAAGTTTAATATATATACATATATATATGAAAGAAAGGATGATAATAATCTCTTATAGGAACAAAGATCAAGACCTTGTTATTATGTAGATACACAAGTGAACGAAATTTTTTACCCAGAACCGACCATGTAGCCCAACACTGTGGATGCAAGTAAGAAAGGAAGACAGGTTCTGGCACTTGTACCCAGTGCAGTGGGGTAAAATAATGCAGACACAAATGATACAACGAGAATCCCAGTCCAAGCCCACACTTCAAGGGGAGAAAATGGGGAGGGTTTTTTCATAGGCTCAGCATCTATCATTTCTGTCTTCACAGCTTTTCTTACTGCTATAGCTGTGAAACCAGCAACCAATAGTGTAGCCAGCCAACCCCCAACTGCATAACACAGACAAATATCAGCATGGCATTTGAATGAAAGTATAACAACACAACACAACTTAGGCACATCAGACATGGCATATCAGGAAAAGAAAAACTAAGTAGGAGTGCTGATTCAAGTTTGAGTGAATTGATATTATAGTCCTTCAAAGACTACATTGTCTCAATTTAGTCCAACAAAAATTAATGTCCAATTCTAGTCCTTCAAATAATATTTGTTATAAAAAAGTTCTCATGTTAAATCCATAAAAATATTAATTTGACCATCAAAATGATGTGTTTCATAAACTCAGCTCAATATAAAGTTTGAGAAAAATGCTTGGGCAATATTATGACGGCCACCACATCACTCACTCAATCAAATAACATCACTTTGTCCCATTAATTATGCACTAATGAGCTTAACATGAAGATTATTTTAGAATAGAAGCAATCTTTGGAAGACTAAAATGAGACTCTTGATTTTTTAGGGACCAGATTGAGGCAAAGTATATTTGGGTAACTTTTGGAGGACCAAACGATCAATTGATTCTTCAAGCAATGAAAACAGCGTAAAGCGGCAAACTAAACGACGAATCTAACTTGTGCAGATCAACCAATTCAAATAAAACAGTATGCGTTCCATCTACATATAGTGAAAGGGAAAAAAACGAAGATTCCACAGACAGTAAAAGAAATAGTAGGACGACTCAGAGAATATTCACCAACCTACAATAAGGCTAATCTTGATGCCCGAAGCAGCTGGAATATCTTTAACAGAAAGGGGCAAGATAACCAAAGATGGAACATAGAATAAGGGGAGCCATCTCTGAATGAACAAAAGCGCCGGTTCGAAGAAGTTCATTAAGGCTGTGGCTGCAGATGGCACAGTGGAATCAAGAATTATCAAAACGGAAAATATACAAAACATCCCAAACAGTGCGCTAGGGAATTTAATCGCAGCAGCCAGGAAGGCTTTCTTAAGATATTTGTCCATCGCAAGAATAAGGCCCAACGAGACAAGCAAATGCAATAGCCCAAACACCTGGAGTACATTGAAGCAAAACAAAATAAGACCAGCTCTTTAACCGGCACAAACCCAATTAAACATCGAAACAGAGTCGCACATTTTGGCCAATTGTGGAAGTTTTTCCACTGTCAGTTTCCGCCGATTTTGTCAGAAGTTCTCGACTTCTGCAATTCTCTTGAGTACGCGTACGCAAAAAGCTGGAATTGAATCCAGAACCTCCAATGGGTACGACTGAGCTTTGCAAAATGGAATGCCTTTGTGAGCTTCGAACGCCATTGAGAGCAACTACTGGTGACTTGACAAGATATTTGGGATGACGAGGGTTGATGGAAGAAAGAGATAAATTATGGGATATGACCATAGAGGTCGCCATGGGATCGGCGAGGGAGGTGAGGCACTGGATACTCCCGAAGAGAAAACATTCACGCTAGTAATTACGTGGGTCCCGAAAGAATTTGAATGGACGAAAAAAGAGGTCAATTGAATAGGATGAGATTGGGGTTGAAATTTTTTAGCAAGCAGTATGAACCCCAACGGGAATTTTAAATATCAGTTACTCTATATAGGTACAGTGAGGCATTGACTCTCCTCCTTCTTGTTCGGGTAAACAGGAAGCATTCAGTTGAAATGAAAGTTCTTTGTATGTGCGCACGCGCGCGCACATTGTTATAAAGCCCAGTGAATTTATATTAGTGGACTAATGTCCATGTTATAGAAGCAAGCAAGAAAAATTATTCACTCTTGTAAAAATATACATTATTTTTCTTAAAATACCTCTTTAGTTATTTTTAGATTTGTAAAACAAAGTAAATTTATATTTAGATTGCCTTTTATATATAAGTTAGTTTGCAAAATTAGAATTTGTTTGAATTATAATATAATTGAATAAATAAGTTTAGTTTGTAACATCACCAAAATAGGTAAAAAATTATCAATTTACATAATATAATTGTGTAAAATTATTTTAATATGAAGAAGTTAAATTTAATGAATAAAATATATTTAAAGAAATTAGAAATGTTTTAAAAAATAATTTATGTATATATAAAATAAAAAATAATTTTTGAAAAATTTAAAATATTACAACAAAAAATCATGTTAAATTCGTGATAGATAATTTCAAATGTATTAGCAAGGAGAGATGAAAGAAAAGAAAGAAATGAAGTCCATGTGCAGATGAGGAAGCACACAATGGAACGATTTAAGACCAAAAAATAGGCAAAGCCTACTTTTTACAATCACACGAAATTAAGCAGCCCTTGGCTCAAAATTTAGATAGGCCAAAAACTGCTCCAAACACAAGAGAAATTGCCCAATCGTGCCTAAACTCCATAAATAGTTTAGAAGTTGGTTTACTGCTAATCCAAACAGAGTCTAAATTAGGATGTTACGATTCGTAGTAGGTCTAAAGTAAACCTTTTCACTACAAGTCCCGCTGAGTCCTGTGTGCAAGACCGAAGGGAGTAAACAAAACATACAACTCACATTTCATAATCAGCGGTGAACAAATAAGTGATATATAATCGAGGGATGGTGCATAAAAATCATAGTAAAAATCTAATCACGATAGCAAATGTGGGACAAAATTTTCTGGGAGATGATTTTAAGGGAAAATGTGGTATGTGCGTTGATGAATCAAGTTCTGTTCAGGAATATTTTTGCCAGGCAATATTGGTGCATGAAAGAAATCCAAGAAAGACGTCTCAAAGTTTGGAAGCCAAGCAACGCCTCAGTTGCCTTCTGAGAATCTTTCCAGCAGCTGACCTTGGTATTGAGTCAATGAACACCACTTTCCTCACCTTCTTGTATGGAGCAACCTTGCAAAAAACAGAGAAAAATTTTAGAGAAGGTGAAAAGTACTTTCGTGCACACCAAAGCATTGGTTCAAGTTGTAAATGTGAATGTTGCCCCAAAAAAAAAAAAAAGCTGTAAATGTGAATAGAAAATTAATGGTGGGTTAGTTTTGTGACGACGAACCTGCTGAGCAACATAATCCATAATAGCTTTCTGAGAGAGGGCACTTCCAACCTTCCTGACCACAAAAGCCACTGGCATCTCCCCAGTTTCTTCATCATTGGCACTAAAAAGGATGATGAACGGCTAATGGGAACTTTACAAAGTATTGACGACTGGATTGTCTACAAACATTTTTGCTGCTTATAGAACAAATAACCTCAGAGGAAAACTGAGCTAAGTTCTAGTGATTGTGATGATGCGGTAAGGAATTTGAAAATTGGCTTTTTCTCATCAAGGTCAAGGCATTATACAGAATCAATTCAGTCGTTATAAGAATAGGAGTGCCTATTTTTGTCCGACATTAATCAATTCTAAAGACGTGAGGCTTTTTTAATTGATTATAGGAAGAGTTCGTTTAGCATAAATCAAATGTTCACACTTACCCTGTAACTGCTACATCAACTATATCGGGATGCAAAATTAACACAGCTTCTAAATCAGCAGGAGCAATCTGTTACAAATGATTGTAAGCCATATAAGAAAATACACATAAAAAATATAAAACTGATTTAAATTTATTAAGAAGATCTCTGTGATTAAAGATCATACTATAGGATAAACTTATTAGGGGGACAATGACACCTGCATCTAAGAAAGTAATCCTTTAACAAATAGGTGTCCAATAGCGTCCTAAAAGTTACAACGCCTTCGAGTTGTATCATGCTAGAGAAATTTTTCCGCGAGCACCTTTTTAAGTGAAGGTCATTTTGTATCTTTCAGGTCCATTTCCTTATACATAGAAATCAGATTGTTACCTAAGGAGCGTGAGATTTTGAGTTCATGTTGATGTCTAAAATGGAACAAAAACATATTTAACCCAAAAGTAAAGAAAGAGTGACAGTTTCCTCAACCTTTTGTTCATTCAGCATATATCAACCAACTCACATGAGAATGGATAGTCCATTGATATCGAAAGCCAATTGGTTACATCTAACACATATACATGCACACATCCTTACATGATTGTTCTTTAGGTTTTGTATTTTGTTCTATACATGCATATGCATATGATCTAGCAAAGATTGTTATTCTCTTGTACTTTAAATTAGACACCTGATAGCCCTTGTATTTGATAATATCTTTCAAGCGGTCGGACAAATGTAAATATCCATCTTGATCAAACCAAACAACATCACCGGTGTGTAGCCAACCATCTTTATCAACTGTTGACATTGTGGCCTCGTCATTATTCAAGTACCCTGAAGAGTTTAAGAAGAAAATTATTTCAGCCAGAATAACAAAAAATATAGGTAAATTTACAAGCAACCATAATTGCTTAATTCATTAAGGATTCTAGAGGATGTGTATTCTCCTATAACAAAATGACAGGAACAAAGTCATTATAACAGAATCTAATATCTCCCTGAATATAAATTTTACTTGCAATTTTCCTCATGCTAAATGGAAACTTAATGTGGCATCCAATTAATGATATGGCGAGTAACTTGTAGGTTTCAATACGATTGACATCTGATAGTCAGAACAAAGTGAAACAAAACATTCATATATGTAGAGCTAGGAAAACTGTCAAAGAGAAGGCAACTATGATATTCCGCAGAACAGAGTAACATCGTGGGCGTTCACTTTATTGCATTTAGATGTCCATCAAAATAACATAAAATCCCCAAAAAATAAGGCTTTTATATAACAATTTAATGAATAAATGAAGGAATTAATTTTCATTTTATATATATTCGGGGAAGTGACTATGGTTTTACCTCTCATAATTGAAGGCCCTCTCAACCAAAGCTCACCAATACTGCCTGGAGGCAAAAAAGCACCAGTCTTCCAATCAACTACTTTTGCTTCCATGTTGGGAGCTAACAACCCTATAGAAGAATAATTTCGAAACTTTTCAGCATTGAAGCCACGTGTTCCTACTGCAGTTGACTCAGTCATTCCATAACCCTAAAACGAAACAATATCACTGCTGAATATACTTAGAAATTCAAGGAAAACCAACATTGACAATACCAACTAAACAGTTAAACTTCATCAACGGTGATTCAATCTTTCCATTGGATACCGCTAACACTGGCACAATAATATATGTCTTTTGCAACCAGAATTTGGATGATGAAAAGTAGAGAGGGGGTGAATAAATACATTCAACATCTCCAGGTCAGGCATGCCCCAATGTACTTTGGGTAAAACAAATAGTATAATTTCAGGAGAATGTTAGCAAAACAATTTATACCAGAACTCTTTTTCATTTCCTACAAACTCTCATTATTAGACAGGATGATTGATGCAGTTGACTAATAAATAAAAACCATGGGTGATGAAAGAAATAAGAAGTAACTCCAGCAACTTGATGAGTGATAGTGCACATTCTCCTGATTAGCCTGCTCAGTGAAAAGTTCTTTTACCTGTATAAAGTCAACGTCAGGTAGAGTGTGGATGAAGCCCTCTATTGTCTTTATGCTCAAAGGTGCGGCACCGCAGGAGACCTGTATCAAGCTTTGCAGATAACTCCTATTTATGTCGGTTACTCTTTTGGTCAATGCCGTCAATATCGGTGGAACAACAGGGAAGTGTGTGACTCTGTAATTATCAATCACCTTAATCACCTCGTCGATGTTAAATGTTCTCATTACAATAATCGTAGAGCCTAAAGACAGTAATCCTGCCGCAAAGAGTGATAAACCATATATATGGAACATCGGCAGAACAGCTAAAAACACATTCTTTGAGCTTGAATATTCATATTGAGAAGCTTCAAACCTCACGAAAAGCTCAACCATAGAAACAAAATTCTTATGTGTTAGAATAACTCCTTTGCTCACACCCGTAGTCCCAGAAGAATACATTATAGCCGCCTTGTCTTCTTGTTTAATAACCGGCCTCGGAAACAAATCCGACTTACCCGAAACAAGATTATAAAAAACTGGGTAATCAGAGTATTTCAAGTCCTTCAGATTTTCGGGAACCTCAATAACTGGAATGGCCAACGATTGTAGTTTTCGAACTCTCTCTTGTAGAGTAAAAGCCAGACTCACACCACATTCAGATAATTGCTTACGGATTTCTGAAATGTGACTTAGAGGATTCAACGGTGTGACAATTCCGCCAAGATACAAAACACCCAAGAAAACAATGGGATAGTAAATGGAATTAGGAATTAGAAGTAGAACAACGTCACCTTTTGAAACACCCATTTTTTGGAGACCACATGCCATGGATTTCACCAAAGAAAACAATTCCGAGTAAGAAATTGAACATCCAGATGAAGAATCTATGAGAGCTGAAACTCCATTGTGTTGGTGAGAAAAAATATAAGAAACAACATCGAGAAATGGGTCTGAAGGAAGCTCCACCGGAGCGTGTTTGCTAGTGTAAATTCCTGTTTCTGGTGAATACCAACGACAGCCCGCGAATTCTGGCCCATTGCTGTCCAAGTTATTGCTTACAGTCGTCGCCATTGATAGGAGAGGAATAAAAGAAGTTCGTTATTCTTTCATACTCGAATTTGCAGGGGCGACTTGTACACTTCGAAAGCCAAGAACCGCCTTCAGGGCAGTGGGGAATTTTTTAATGTTTTGGGAAAATCTCATTTAGGTCCCCATATAGGACCTTTATTTCACAATGCCCCCAGATAATTCCGAAAGTGAAATCAGTCTTAGGGGGTGTTTGGATGAAGCAAAACCATGGTTTGCAGAATAGCTTCTAGAGAATAGATTCTGGAGAGAATAGATTTTAAAAGAATAGATTTTCTGAAAAAGTGATTCTGATAAAGTGAGAGTGTTTGGATAATTAGTGTCAGAAGTGCTTTTTGATATGTAGAAATTACTAAAAAGGACATAAGTTTAAATGATAATTACATATAAGATATATTTCATAATATATGTTTATTTGAAGTAATAAATTTATTAATAATATATATTTTGGCAACATAATAAATATGGCATAAATAATAAGAAATTAGTGTGTGTGTATATTAATAAAATAAATAAATATGTTTTTAGGAAAATGATTTATTTTGCTAAAGAAAATATTATTATTTCACAAAATTAAATAACCACACAAAAAAAATTCATATTAATTGTCTTAATAATAGAGGTTGCAACGAAATATATTTGTTCAAGTAGGTTTTTTTAACAACACATTACATTATCTGAAAAGAAAAAAGAAAATAAAAAGGACATAACTATTCTTGTATGTAGTGAACAATTTGATCTCTTATAGAATCATGAAGTCGAGCCATGTGAGATGAAGAATCTACTGATGAAGGTATATGTGAAGATCCAACTCCATCATCATCATTTTCTTCTACATAAGAACCTTCTTATTCAAACTCAATGAAACCAGGATCAGAAATGGATGTTGATCTAATGAAGTTATGTATGGCCATCATTGCACAAACAATTTGAACTTGTGTTGAAAAGTCATAGCTCGGCATGTTTCCTAAAATTGCAAACTTACTTTTCCAAACTCCAAAAGTTCTTTCGATAGTGCTCCGTAGACTTGAGTGCAAATAATTGAACGCCTCATTATCATTTTCAAGTGCAGATGACCTTCGGAAATCAGGAAGATGGTAGCGTTCACGTCTGTAGGGACCAAGGTATCCCATGGGTGTCGGATAGCCAGCATCCACCAAATAATATTTGCCTACATGAAATATATGATTGGTGTCAATAAAATTTGTTTTCTAACAGTGAAGCATAAATAAATTGTAGGAATTTAAAATATACCTTGAGGCGGATGGGGAAAGTTCATGGAAGGAGTTGTGAGGGCGTGGTCAAATATACGAGCATCATGCGCACTACCTTCCCATCCGGCTAATACAAAAGTGAAGCACATGTCCCAATCGCAAACCGCCATTACATTTTGCGTCACTCTTCCTTTCCGGTTAATAAATTTTGTTTGCTCAGTTGCATCAACAATGCATGAAATATGTGTTCCATCAATTGCTCCAATAGCATGTTTGAAAAAGGGCCAGTATCGACCACTGGGCCGTATTTTTGTATGCAAATGCTGAAACGTTGGATCTTTTGGTTTGATGTTGGTAATAGCAAGTCTACAACAAGCCAGTAAGACAATATGAAAATGTCTACTAATTGTCTCCCCTGAATGCTGAAATCTTTCTTGCTGCATCCTACTACTAAGCGCATGGCCAACGGTATTTAAAAACATTGCAACCATTTCATGTATCCCAACATTTCTAGTTTCTCTTAGACCGTGTTGTTGCAATTCTGTGCAAAGACTAAAGAACACTTCCCTTTCCATCCTAAACATGTTATAACAACGATTGGAATGGCCTTGTAAAACGTCCCTTACCCATACCTTGCCTGTATAAATACTTGTATGATGGGGCTCTTTACACAAATGAAGAGAAGCATATCTACCAACCGCTACTGCAACTTGATTAACCCGTTTGTTCCGTCGTTTACGATACTTTTCCGCAATTTTAATTTCATCAGCCATTTTTTGTCTTGTCCTGTGCACATAGACATAAAATTCAGAAACCCTGATAAGAAATTACTTAACATTTAACAAGAAAATAAGTTGTTTAATTCCTACAGAAATTAAGTAGTCACATAATACATAAAAATAGATACAAACGATCACAGTCATCTTCTAAGTCACATAAAAATAGATACAAATTATCACAGTCATCTTCTAAGCAACATAAATGAAGTCTCAATCCTTAGTTGCATGCTTCAAAAAGATCAGTAGTTTTTCCCTCTTGTTCTTCAGAGCCACATACATCTCCCTTGCAGCTGGCTTATCCATAAGAAGTGTTGTGCACCGGCCAAACAGATCAGGATCATCAACAATTTCATCAACTTCATTAAGGTGCTCCATGACTCCCGCAATTGACGTCTCATAAGCACGTGCTTCTTCTTCTAGCTTCCTAGCACGTGCTTCTGAAATCTCTTCATGTTCACGCTGAGAATCATTTTCATTTGTCTGAGCTATCCTACTTAGTGCATCCGCTATTTTCATAGTGGTAGTAGATTTCTTCTTCATGGATTCACTCTTTTTTCTAACTCCTAATGAGCTACTAGGTCGATTGCCACTTGTGCTTCTACCCCCACGAATGGTTTCCTGTCTCATTCCAGTGTTGCCTCCACTTTCTCCACTATTGTCATTGAATGTGACTGAATTAAACTCCCCGCTTATGCCAGTTGGTGCCCCCAAAATTTCATCACTATCTCCAGATCCTTCTTCCATATCATTTTCAAGAACTCCTTCGCTTGGAAGTGTCATGGAAGAAGGTGCCCATGACTGTGGTCCAGTGGCAGCTACAGACCCAAAGAGTTGAGTCAATTCAGCCCGAAATTAAAGCCCTCTTTCTCTAAATTTCTCATAGCCTGGAACTTCCTGCGCATTCAACACCAAAAATATTATACATTATACAAAAAACGTTAACATGGGAGAAAATACAAGCTCAAATAAAATTAAATGATTACCACTATTTTCTTCTCCCACCAATCATCAGGGGCACTAATAGTATTCCTTTCGGCATCCCACCCTAAACCTGTCTCACGGAGCAGCCTATCCCATAACTGCCACTCCTTTCGCAAGGTATCATATTTGTTCTTTAATTGGATTTTCGTATAAACTCTTCCAGTCTTTGCAGCAAAGTTCTCCTCAATACTTGTCCAAGCAGGCTTTGTCAAGCTAGTTCCTCTTCTTCCCCCCTTTTCAACTTCTTCAATACACAGGTCAATAAAGACCTTTGTGGCTCTTATATCCCACGAAGCTTTGCTATTTTTTTATTCATTATGCTATAAACCAATTACAACAGTTCAGTTATCACAAATTTAACCCAAAAAGCATATCATTCAGTCCAGGAGATATGATATAACAGGATAGTATTTATCTATAATCCAACGGTATACATACACATTAATAATTATTTTTTCCTAGCATCATTTCGGTTAACTGACCCAATTTGGCTACAACCAATAAAATCCCATACACATAACACTGCAAAAGCAACCATCAAGCACAAAAGAAAAAAATTCGACCGTCCTGTCTCCGAAATAAAATCGACCAAACGAAAAATTTGATCAACACCCACCAAATGCTCTGTCTCTCATACACACACACGAAGCACAACCAGTCACAACCGAGATCTTTCCCATCGTATACACACACACATGATTACCATCAAACAAAATCAACCTCTACAAGTGAACATAGCATAGGCAACCGGTGAAACCAACATCTGATTCGGAAGAAAAAAACGACGCTGACGAAACCTCTGTTTCGGGGAAAAAATTGACGCTTCACAGAATTTCTAATGCACCAGATCTCCAGCCACAATGACCGACGGAAGAAGATAGGTTACCGGAAGGAGTTGGATCTGACCGACGGAAGAAGACACGGCGACCAGAGCTTCGGAAGGGGCGACGGTGGAAGAATGAACTGACTTCAGATGAACTAACCAGCCACGATACCGGAAATGGAAGGCTTGGATCAGGCAACCCAATACGCGATCTTCTTCTCGGAGGCCGAGAAACACCTCGTCGGCACTGAAATTTCTCAGCAGTTCACGATCTCACCGATGGGATGAAGAGGCGACGGCACAGGCTTCATCGATTTCTTCAGCAGGGGCGACGGCACAGGAGAAGGGAGATCTTCAGAGCAGTGGGAGAAGGGGCGACGGAATGGGAGAGAAGAGGCCGAAGAATGGGTCTTGACCGTGAGCTGAAGGAACCCCGCGTGCTTGTTCCCTTCACCGTGGAGCTAACCGTTGAGCCTTTGTTGGGGAGAGCCAATAATTGAAGCCAATTATTCCCTTATCTGGAAACCACGGGAGCTGAATTGTGAACTCCCGCCTGCTTATCTGGAAACCAAGGTTTTGCCCAAAACCTTGGTTTTAAAAAAAATGGGGGTGTTTGGCAAATTTTTTGCCAAACCATGGTTTGGCAAAAAAGCCAAACACCCCCTTAGAGTGAAAAGACAACAGGAGCCTTACAAAGATAGGAATAAGAGAAGCTAATTTACAAGTGGAATATGAGAATTTACAATCAAGATAAGAAAATTTATAAGAAAAATATGGTCATTTACAACTAAAGTAATTCGTAATAAGTTAAAAAGTTAGAATTTACAGGTGAAATACACAAATTTACAATTAAGATAAGAAAATTCATAAGAAAAATAAGACCATTTATAATTAGAATAAGACCATCTATAGGTAGAACTAGCATTCACAATATGTTAGGAAGTTAAAAATCACAAGTGGAAAACAACAATTTACAACCAAAATAAGAGGATTCATAAGAAAATTAAAGCCGTTTACAACTGGAGTAATTCACAATAAATCAAGAAGTTAGGATTCATAAGTGGAATATAGAAATTAAGAACCAAGATAAAGCAACTCACAAAAGAAATGCAAACATTTACAACTAAAGTAAGAAAAATACGGCCGGTGACGAGTCATTATGGTGGCTTGATTTTTTTTCCCCTCGAATGAGAGCTAAATACCTAAATAACAAAAATTAAAAATTAGTTAAGTTAATTATTTGATATAAATATATACTAGTTTTTTTTAGTATCTCTTTTAATTATTTGTATTGGAAATTACTTTCCCCGTAGAAAAACCCTGTTAACATCTACAATTAACAAGGAGAGTTTGGGACAAATTAAAAATTTTAAAAACAAAATAAATTGAGATATTATATTACCTTATATCCTTAATATAAGAACTAATTTGACATTCAATTTGGTTCTAAATATAAGATCTTAGTTAACTTTGTCTATCATATTTATTTATTTTTCTAAAATAATCATTATAATAATTACACACATGTTAAATATTTCATCAAATGTGGTTCTAACTAATACACATAATTAACAAAGATATTTTATGAAAGATAATATTTATTTATTACAAATAATTAATTTAATTAATTTTTATAATTTACTCAAATTAGTCAACTAGCTCGTATATTAAAAACCAGAGGTAATATTCAGAATCAAAATAAATTCATCTAATAACTAATAATTTAGGTCCCAAAGGGAGAAGTACAAACTATCAACAAACTGCACTATTAACAATATTTCCGACTACAATTATTACTTTTTGAAAAAGTCATTTTACATATATCTATATTTAAAAAAAAAATTAAATTTGATATCTTTGTATTGTTTTCTCTTAATTAATTTTTTTTAACTCTGCTCTCTTAACATCATTAGCTCTTGATCTATAGGAGCTAACGATGCAAACAGAACAAAGTTAAAAAAATTTAATTACGAAAGAAAAATATATTAATACTAAATTAAAAATTAAAGGAAAGCATAAGTGTACATGTAAATTAGTTTTCTTTCTTACTTTTCTTTTGAGAAAGTTTGGAATTCCTCCAAATTTCGGGAAATTTTGAGGTAAAAGTTGTTGTGACATATTGCAACTTCTAATAAAACTCGCTCTTTGAATATACCTTTGAAATCCTCCCAACTCACATAACCAGTATAGAAAATGCATTTAAAAAGAGAATAGTACATGATAGTTGCTGAACGAATTTATATTTTCTTCTATCTTAAATAAAAAGCACTTGGAATTGTCAGTTTTGTGGGCAATGGGAGAGCTCTCTACATGTACTGAGGGACTGCCAAGTAGCTAAGAAGATTTGGAAGGAAGTTGGAGATAATCAAATGCAAAGAAACAGCCAGAACATCAAAGTATGGTTGCTAGAGAATTTAAATAAAAGCGAAGAGATCAAAGGTTTACCTTGGAATATACTCTTTGGAGTAACATGTTGGTCCTTATGGAAGATGAGAAACATGAAGATCTTCAATCCCCAAGGAAGTCGTGATCTTGCTGACAGGCAGGTGTGGTTAATCCTGAATTTTTGTGGGCAAATTGCCTCTGCCAAGGGGTTGGGGACGAACATTGAGGTGGAAGAGGAAGATGATAGTGGTGAGGAGCAAAGATGGGAGGTACCAGATGAAGGCTGGACCAAGCTAAACACTGATGGAGCATGTAGAGGGGAGCAAGGAATTGCTGGTTGTGGAGGAGTGTTGAGAGACTCCGAAGGAAGGTGGATTGCTGGTTTCTCTGCTCGAATTGGAAGTTGTACGGCAGAAGAGGCGGAAAGTTGGGGAATTCGAAGAGGTCTGGAGTTGGCTTGGAATCTCGGGTTGAGAAAGATCCAGATCGAAACAGATGCGTATGAAGTGGTAAGAAAACTGAAAGGAAAGATGAAAGAAGGAATCTTTATAAACCAGTTGTGGGCTCAAATTTATGAGTTGATGAACAGAAGATGGGAAGTTAAAGTTTAGCGATCTGCGAACACTTGTGCAGATGTCTTGGCTAAGTTAAGCTTTGGAATCAATGAGGAAGTGCAGATCTGGAGAGAAGTTCCTCTGCAAGCCTTTGAAACTTGGGAGACGGACAGGTTGCGAGGTGGAAGAGTTCGGCTTGATGAAAGTGTTGCAGAGGGAAGTGCTGATGCTGGATAGTGAGATGTTGTTTTAATGGGTGTGGACCCTCGTTTTCTACCAAAAAATAAAAAAATAAAAAGCACTTGGAAGATGGTTGTGAATGTTTAAATGTACAAGAAACTAAACTAATTCTTTTTCACTCATTATTCTTCTCAGTAACTATGCTAACCAAGTTTTATGATAAAGAAATTAGTGAAGATCATTAAAGGATCACTAAATTTATGGTATAAGAGAGTTTAGGCACTTAATATAATGTCTGTATTCAGTTATTTTTTTCATTAGTCATACTATCATATGCCTATTGCATATCTTTCACCTAGAAACACGGAAAGATAAAAACTTACATAACATAGTTTGTATGGAAGTACCTTTTATACGATCACTGTTACAAAAGGCAATTGAGAAGAGGAACATCTGTTATAACTAAATTAAAGTTTTGTAGCAAATTATAACTAGCTAAATAACAAATTACATAAATTACGTTAGTCAAAGAATATGTATTAATTTTTTTAAAATATCCCACTATAATCATTTACATTAAAATAACTACCCTCATTGATATATGGAAACTCTGTTTGGGTAATCAGTGGAGATAGTTTAAGGAGAAAAATTATAACTTTGAAACAGAAAATAAATTGAGATTTTATATTTACCATAAAAATAAACTTCCTACTAATTTTTATAATTAGAATTAGAAAGTATCATAACCCAAACTTTGGAAAACGACCAATACATGTCTGCAATTAACGATGAACTGGTGTTGAGTCTTGGGTATGACTTAGCTTCTTTTCTAAATACGTCTCCGGTCCTAAATATAATACCCTTATATTAGTAGGTATAAGGGTCTTATATTTAGTATATACATATGTATTCAGTACAATGGCCTCCAAACAGCCTTTCTATATTAATAATATACACCACCTATATATACTATTATCTCTGATCCTTAATATAAAAGTTAGTTGATTAATTTGAGTATATTAAGAAAATTTGTTGAGTTAATTATTTGTAGTAAATAAGTTTTGTCTTTTTTAAAATACCCTTACTAGTTATGTGTATTAGCTAGAATTACCATTTGATGAAATATTTAAGACGTACAACTACTACAAAGGTTGTTTTAAAAAAATAGATAAATATGATAGACAAAGTGAATTAGAATCTTATATTTAGGACTAAATTGAAAGTCAAACTAGCTCTTATATTAAAGACCAAAAATATTACTACCTTCTGTCCTAATTATAAGAGCCAGTTGACTAATTTGAGAAGATTAAGAAAATAAGTTGAGTTAGTTATTTGTCCTAAATAGGTGTTGTCTTTCCTAAAATATCCTTGCTAATCAAGTGTATTGACTAAAACTATAATTATTAGAAGGATTATCTTGGAAAAAATTGAGTAAATATGAGAGACAACGTAGATTGGGGTCTTATATTTAGGACCAAAATAAAAGTCAAACAAGATTTTATATTAAAGACCAGAGGTAGTATAATATTATTCCTCATGTTCCACTTAACAATTTCTTAGATTTCTTAAAGTAGGGCTTTTTTGGGTCGAAGAATGTCCGGAAGATAGACCAACTATATCAGAAGTGATTTTTCATGCATGATCACAAATGAAGACGTCATCCTCATACAAAAGAAACTTGGCATTTACAACTTTAGACGGTGCGTCCATTAAGGCTCTGTCTGGATTCATGTGAAACAACTTAAAGCAGCTTATAAGCCCATAAACACGTTTGGCATGTTGTGCGTGATGTTTGGATCAGCTTTTGGTACTATGAGCAAAAAGCTGACTCGAATTCTACGATTAGAGAAGCTGCTTGATTCCTGTTTATGACTTTTGAAGTCATGTTTAATAGGATTATTGGTAGGACTATTAAGACACAATTGTTGCTGACCAGAAGAGAATGTAATCTCTCTCTCTTCATCACCCTCATTATATTCTGTGCTTCTCATGCCGTCCAAGGCTGAGGTCTGATCTGTGCTCGCCGTCGAACTTCTATTCCTCTTCCCTCGTCCAATCTGTGCTTGCTGCGTGGACGTCGTCCTCGCCGTCTCCAATTAATCTGCAATGTGTCTATATCTACTGTGAATGGAATGACAATTAGACATCTCTTTCATTTCATCCTACATTTTAGTCTAACCTATGAACACTATTACAAATAATTTAAGAATCATATGAACATAACTGTGGCGATCATCACCTTCCTCACATATGTACACTTATCTTTATACTCCTCCGGTCCTAAATATAAGACCCTTATACTAGTAAGTATAAGGGTCTTATATTTAGGACCGGAAAAGTAAATGTTTGTTTGAAAGATTTTTTTTTTGTTTGCAGTTTTGTAATTTTGTTTAAGAAAATTGAAATTTTATAAAATTAATCAATTTATAATATGATAGCAGAGACTTCTCTACATGATTATTTTTTAGATATTAAAATTTATTTATACATATCAAAAGTTGAACAAGTTCTTTGTTTCGCGTAACATTCGGAATAGTGATGAGTTGGCAAGAGATAAGAAGTTGACTTTGGATTTGGTCAATGTGATGAAGGATTTATACCGATTCAAAAATGAGAGGCTATTAATTATTTTGGTCAAATGGGTCCTCTATCACCATCATGCATCCCCACATTTTATATCCACCGATAATTTCATACGTACGGCTAAACATGACATTTTCACGTTATAATATGCCATAAGCTTTTGACAGATTCATTAGTGGGCTGATTAAATATATTTAGATTTGTTTTTCATTTTGACCAAAACCATGATATTTAGAGTGAAGAAAAAGAAATAGCTCATGCAAGTTAATAACTTGTGACCTAATTAAGGGCATTTCTGTCTGTTCATTCATCATTTACTTAGTAGAGCTTTCATAACATTTTCAAAGAAATAAACGATAACCAAAGTTGAGGATCCTGTCCTGTTTGCTGTTGGATCATAGAAACAAAAAATGGCTCTCCTGGAAAACTCATTCATATATCTTCACTTTCTCATCCTCCAAATAATCGTATCTTGCGTGTTACTGTGTGGAAATATCAGTGTGATTGCTGAAACCAACACCCTGAATCAAACAGACACACTCAACTTCACAGCTCGTTTGGTTTCCAACAACAAGAACTTCACCTTAGGATTCATCAAACCTGTCACCTATATCAACAACACTTACTTAGCCATCTGGAATTCCAAGTACAGGTCAGCTTCTTCTCCAGTTTGGATCGCCAATAGAGACACCCCAATCGCTAATGGATCTGATGCAACTCTCTTCATCGACAAAAATGGGAAGTTTGTGATCAATCGAACTCATGGCCACCCAATTCAACTATGCCCTGGTGAAACCACGACCGACAACACCACCAACACAAGAGCTGTTTTGCTGGACAATGGAAATCTCGTACTGACAGAAGTGAATTCCGATGGATCTGTCGGTCGGACCTTGTGGCAAAGCTTTGATTGTCCCACGGACACTCTTTTGCCTGGCATGAAACTAGGCGTCAATCACAGAACAGGAAGGAATTGGACTCTCACATCATGGCTGGCTTCTAACGACCCATCTCCAGGAGCTTTTACCCTCGAATGGGACCCTCATGGCTTAGAGTTGGTTCTTCGACGTAGAGGGGCTGTGTTTTGGACTAGTGGGGCCTTGAAAAATCTCAGTGATCCTGATGGTGGAATGACCTTTGGGAACATAGGACCAACCTACTATTATACACAATCTTATAAGATGATGTACACGAGAACTTCAAATGAAGAGTTCTTCAACTATACGTTGAAAGATGACCGTTTGGATCCTGTGGTTCATGAAAGCATAGATTGGAGCATAGATTACAAAGGTAGCTTTTGGTTTGAGAACACGGGAGTCCCATTACAGGAATACTGTTATGGGTACAAGACAAAGGACAACGAGGGATGTGCAGAATGGGAACAACCACAATGTAGGAGTTACAATACGACGTTTCGGTTGTTGTCTGGGTACTTTGTGAATAAAAGCAATGGAAACTTCATTGATGGTGATCTTCACAGGATCGGTCCAGCTGATTGTAGAGTTAGTTGCTGGGATGATTGCGAATGTCTGGCATATCAGAAGATGGACACGTTGCGTTGTGTTCAATATCATCAAGAAGCAGAGTTTCGACCAGATCCATCGGGGAATTCGGAACAATTTTACGTTATCCAACAACCAGAAAATGGTGAGTTTGCGATCTGATGCAACTTAGATCATCTCTGCTAAAATATGCGATGTAGTAGCCATATGCACATGATCAATCTAACCGTTTTGAAAAATATATATGCTCACAATACAAATTTTATTGAGAGAAAAGTTCCCATCAAAAATTTTATTAGTGAGAAGGGCATGGTAAACTTTTATATTCAGAATGTGTCGGTACTCTGCAAATTTTATACACACAGCAGGATATCGGTATCTGATTTATTAGGTCATTCTTACCAATAAAATTTTTAATGAAAGATTTTTTTCCCCCAATTTTCTCAAATAGTTTTATAGATAAATGCAAATGGTCAAGAGTAATTTTGAGAAGGCACTGGGTTTTGTCAAAGTCAATATAAGATCATATTAGTCCAACTTTTCAGCTGTAATCTTTCCACCTTTTTTATATTTTACTTTCTGTTTTATGAATGGATATAGACTAGAAATAAAAATAGGGATTAAATAGAGAAATGAAATAGGAGAGAATGTCATCATAACTTGCACGCTCAAATGGGGTATGTTACATCACTGTAAACATCATATAATTTTGAGGAAAATCAATTCGCCTGCCAAACATATTATCCAAATTGACCTGCCAAAATTAATTACTTAAGTTACATAATGTTACTTTTAATTTTAAGGAAAATCTGTGTATGTTTTAAAATAAAGCGCAGGTATTTATAATCAAGACAGTATACCACGTAGGTTAATGTTATTCATTTCATATTTAGATGTGGATTTCATTTAACAAATACTCTTTAATATAGTTAAATGCATTAAATTCATTGATTTCATTTTTAACCTTTTCTTAGTTGTTTATGCTTTTAAAAACTTTCTCATTACGAGAAACCACTCCCTTCGACATATGCAGGTTTAACAGAAGAAAGGAACAAGAAAAGGATTGCAATTTCGGTTCCCCTCGCAATATTATTCTTGTTAGCGTCTGTCATTGTTATTATCTTTTACTGGAGATGGAGAACGAAAGGTAACATGCAAAATCTATATCACGCATTACCTCACACGCCATTTTCATATAAACTTTGAATTTGAAATGACCGATAATTTTTCTTCATACATAACAAAAATTATAGGGAGAAAAAGGGACCATCTACGTCAACTGTTGTCAGAAACTAAAAATTTACGCAATTTAGATGAGCTTGGATATGATAATGGTTTTGCTCAACATTTGAAAGTGTTCAGCTTTTTGTCTATCGCTGAAGCTACGGATAACTTCTCAGCTCAAAATAAACTTGGACAAGGCGGTTTTGGCCCAGTTTATAAGGTGAAGGAAGCATATATCTTTTTACTTGTTGGTACTATTCTATTGATTTTGAGTTACTAATTAACTAATAACATAATAATGGTCAGGGAAAACTACCTGAAGGGGAAGAAATTGCAGTAAAGATGTTATCAAGAAGTTCAGGACAAGGATTAGTGGAGTTTAAGAATGAGTTAATACTCATAGCAAAGCTACAGCACATGAATCTAGTTCGTTTGCTTGGATGCTGCATACAAGCTGAGGAGAAGATTTTGGTTTATGAATACATGGCTAACAAAAGTTTGGATTCCTTTCTCTTCGGTTAGTACGTAATTAATCATGCACAACACCCTAAAAGCTACCTGTATCCTGATATGAAAGCTGTCTTTAAATTACCAGTTTAATACCTTGTTGTGATCTCACAAAATGAAACTTTTTTTTATGGTTGTTGTAATTCTAAAGATGCATTGAAGAGGGATGCGTTAAATTGGAGAATACGAGTGATAATAATTGAAGGGATTTCACAAGGACTTCTTTACCTTCATCAGCATTCAAGGTTAAGGATCATTCACAGGGATTTGAAAGCTAGTAACATACTACTGGATGCGGATATGAATCCTAAAATTTCTGATTTTGGAATGGCAAGAATTTTCAAACGGGATGAACTCATTGCCAACACTAACAGGATTGTTGGGACATAGTAAGTTTGAGAAACTATTTAAAAATACATGATGATTTGTTTGTGTTTTAAGCAAAGGCAATGTTTTTCATTCTAACAAGATGTATCTTCTTGTATTCTTATTAGTGGCTACATGTCACCAGAGTATGCAATGGATGGAGTGGTCTCCATAAAATCAGACATATTCAGTTTTGGGGTCATAATTCTTGAAATTTTAAGTGGCAAGAGAAACAACGGCTTTTATAACGTTAACAAACCTCTCAGTTTAGTAAAATATGTGAGTGCTTTAACTTGCAATAATAACTTTCTTAAGCATGCTTGTAACTAAAATGTGCATTGGTATATAAGTTGAAAATTATTGTTGCAGGCTTGGGATTTGTGGCGAAATGGAGTTGGCTTAGAGCTAATGGATCCAACATTAAGTGACTCATGTTCCAATCAGCAATTTCTCAGATTTATTCACATAGGTCTTTTGTGCGTGGAAGAATCTCCAGTAGATAGACCAACTACTTCAGAAGTCGTTTCTATGATCCAAAATGAAAGTACCATCTTGCCTGTGGTGAAGAAACCTGCATTTACAAATTTAGACAATGTCACCGAAGTAGATTCTCATATGGATGACTCAGCATCTCATTCTGTCAACAATGTGTCAATATCTACTATAAATGGAAGATAGAGAGGTAAGTGCTCTTAAATATTTAGATATAACAGGATTGTTATCTATAAGTCTTAATCAGTTGAGAAAATGGGGAAAAAAATACCATACTACTTCTTTTCTTTTCTTTTTTTTTAATTATTGGCATGCAAATAGGCAATGTTTCTCTTTTACAAATAACTTTCCCTTATTGATTTAGCATAGGCTTGTTCTCAGAGTATGCAACAGAAGGCATATTATCTGATACATTAATATAATTTTTGGAACTTTCAGAGGCAAGAAGAACAACAGCTTTCATGAATTTTCATATGAAGTTTTAAGTGGCAAAAGAAACAATAACTTCTACAGTATGCATAAACCATTGAATATAGTAAATATATGCATATTTACAGTACTGATAATCGATCACGTTATACGCCTTGTGTATGTCTCTTTATATATACTTGTTCCAAATATTTTTTTAAAGTTAGCATTTGTGTTTAAGGAAATTAAAATTTGATAAAATTAATCAATTTAATTATAATATGATACTACCTCCGGTCCTCAATATAAAACCTTATTTGACTTTTATTTTGGTCCTAAATATAAGACCCCAATCCACTTTTTCTATCATATTTATGCATTTTTTTCAAGTTAGTCCTTCTAACAATAATAGTTCTAACCAATACACTTGATTAGCAAGGATATTTTAAGAAAGACAACATTTATTTACTACAAATAACTAACTTATTTTCTTAATCTTTTCAAATTACTCAACTAGCTCTTATAATTAGGACAGGAGATAGTACATATATATAAATATCACTGCCTGATTATTTTTTAAATAGAAGTTATTTATACATATTAAAAGGGCACAGCATCCGGATAGCGCACTGGCAAGAGATGTAAAGTTGACTTCGGATTTGGATCATGCTCGAAGAATTTGTACAGATTAAGGTTGAAACGCTATAAATTATTACATCCGGTTTTTAATACAAGAGCTTGTTAACAAATTTCAATAAATTAAAAAAATTTGTTAAATTAGTTATTTGTAATAAATAAGAATTACCTTCCTAGAATACCGTTACTAATAATGTATATTAGTTAGAACTATCATTTAATAGAACATTTAACATATGCAACTATTACGAGAACTAGTTTGAAAAAAAATAATAAATATAAAAAAAACATATTAGAGTATTATATTTAGTATAAAATTAAAAGTCAAATTAGTTTGGGTATTATTTCCCGCGTTATATCCAACCATTACAGAGGACCAAAGACGACATTATTCCCCTTTATCATCAAAAGTCGAGAGATTCTGTGATAAAGCTTTTGATACGTTCATCAGATTTGGTTTTTATTTTGACCAAAACAATATCCTGAATTAAGAAAAAGGAATACTGCACATGCAAGTTAATAACTTGAGAGCTAATTAAGGGCATTAATATATTGCTGTGGGCTCATCATGCTTCGTAGTTTGGTTGGTTGTGTCCTATATGTACATCCACAACACCGGAAAGTTTGTGATCAATCGAAATCAGGGCCACCCAATTCAACTGTGCCCCGGTGAAACACCGACAACAACACCAACAAAAAGGCATTTTTGCTGGACAATGGGAATCTCGTGCTGACAGAAGTGAATTTCGATGGATCTGTCGGTCCGACCTTGTGGCAAAGCTTTGATTATCCCACAGACACCCTTTTGCCTGGCATGAAACTAGGCGTCAATCACAGAACAGGAAGGAATTGGACTCTCACATCATGATGACTAGCTTCTAACGACCCATCTCCAGGAGCTTTTACACTCGAATGGGACCCTCATGGCTTAGAGTTGGTTCTTCGACGTAGAGGGCTGTGTTTTGGACTAGTGGGGCCTTGAAAAATCTCAGTGATCCTGATGGTGGAATGACCTTTGGGAACATAGGACCAACCTACTATCATATACAGTCTTGTAAGATGATGTACATGACAACTTCAGATGAAGAGTTCTTCAGTTGCACGTTGAATGATGACCCTAAGGATCCTGCTGTCCATAAAAGCATAGACTGGAGAATAGAGTACCAAGGAACTCTTTACGTTTGAGGGTTTGGGAATCCTATTAGAGGAATATATATTGTTATGGGTATAAGACAAATGACGGTTTGTATATATGAGGGATGTGCAGAATGGGAACAACCAGGAGCTAGGAGTTACAATACAACGTTTGAGGTTTGTTGTCTGGATACTTTGTGAGTAAAAGTAATGGAAGGTTCACTGAGGGACATCTTCAAAGGTTAGCTCTAGCTGCTGGTTGTAGAATTAACTACTGGAATGATTGTGATTATCAGGCATATCAGAAGATGGGTACGCCACTGTGCGTTGAATTATGATTGTGATTATCAGGCATATCAGAAGATGGGCACGTCACTGTGTGTTGAATTTCACCAAAGAAGCAGAGTTTCGACCAGATCCATCAGGGAATTCGGAAAAATTTTATGTCATCCAAAAACCACTAAATACCAGTAAGTTCGCTGTATCATGGAACTAAATCCTCCCTGCATCAATCCTTTCAACCATGTGATCAATCTAATAAATCTTTATTTCCTGAAATTTAACCTCATTTTGATTTTAGTTTGTGAAATCTGTTTGTTTGAGGGACCAGAAATTCTTACATGGGTCAAAATGAAGTTAAATTTCTGAGACCAAAACCAAAATAAGGTGAAATTCTAGGAACCAAAATTAAAATAAATTTTAGGAATTTAAAATGATATTAATTTTTTAAAAAAATATGCTCACAAGACAATTTTATTAAACATATCAAGAGTAATTTTGAGAAAGGCACACCCTAGAATTCAGATAAAATTGATGAAGCTAGAGCTCTGATCAGGATTATTGAAGAGGGTTTTGTCAAAGTCAATCTAAGATCAGCACTTTTAATATTTATCGACATCTTTTATCTAAACCATTAGATTAATTATAGGGCTACAATGTTGTGCGAGAGAGAAGATTTAGTTCAATTCATATCCAACTTTTTTACATTTTGCTTTCTATTATATATGAATTGATAGCCTGGAAAATAAAAATAGGTGTTAAACATAGAAATGGAAAAGAGGAGGAAAGTAGTTTGAAAAAATTATTTTTCTCTAAGGATCTTGGTCCTCCTTTTACATTTTCAGTTCTTAATGGAATAACAGCGAGGTATTTCTTAAGTCGCTGTTACTTTAAAAACTTCTTTATTATGACAAATGTCCCTTCAACACATGTAGATTTAACTGTTGAAGAAAGGAAAAGCAATAAGAAATGGATTCGCAATGTTGTTAGCGTCTATCATTGTTATTATCTTTTATTGGAGACGGAACATAATAGGTAAGACTTGCAAAATCTCAAGGGAAAATCATTAGGAGTGAGGTTTGGAAGGAATATGATCACAAGAAAATCCGACAAACAAGTAAATAGCATGCAATGACAAATTTCACTATAAGAAATGAAAACAGATCCATGCTATTCACTCAATTTTTAATTATTGTGTTCCTTCATTGAAATCTCTCATAGTGATTTTCCCAAAACTTTATATCCCCACTAATTCACAAGGCATATATGATCACAACGGACAATAAAGGGAGAAAAGAGGACCATCTACATCAAGTGATGATGACAGAAACTAATAGTTTACAAAATTTAGATGAGCTTGGATATGATAATTGTTTTGCTCAACATTTGAAAGTATTCAGCTTTTTGTCTATCGTTAAAGCTATAGACAACTTCTGTACGCAAAATAAACTTGGACAGGTTAGTTTTGATACAGCCTATAAGGTTCAGGAACATATATATTATCACTGATCCTTAATATATAAGATTCAGTTGACTAATTTAAAGAGATTAATGAAATTACTAAATCACTTTATTACATTATATGTTACATGATTTCTCTAAAATACTTACGTGAACCATTAGATGATGTATCAATTTATCAGTGAAGCAAATTATTTAAAGAAAAACGATAAATATAAGTAGTTTACAATAACTTAGTAACTTCTTTAATTTTTTTAAATTAATCAATTAAATCTTATATTAAGGACTGAAGATAGTACTTTTTTGGCTATTATGCACTGTTTCTTTGAGTTACTAAATGATGACAAAATCGTTAGGGTAAACTACCAGAAGGAAAATAAATTGCAGTGAAGAGGCTATCTAGAAGTTTAGGACCAGGATTAGTGGAGCCTAAGACTGAGTAAATACTCATAGCAAAGCTACGGCACATGAATCTGGCTTTTGCTTGGATGCTCCAGACAAGCTGAGCAAACGATGTTGGTTTATGAATATATGCCTAACAAAATTTGGACCCCTTTCTATTTGGTTAGTAATTAATCATGCACACAACAACCTAAAGCTTAGTCCTCAACAACGCAAGTTTTTTCATTTTGATCATGTTGTGACCCTTCAAAATTGGCAATGTGATGAGGTCATCTTCAAATTCTATTAGAAACAACCTATATATGTCCTTTTATATGTGAAAACTGTCTTCAAGTTGCTGGTTGGATACTTTGTAATGATCTCACACGCTGAAACTTTTTTATGGTTGTTGTAATCCTAAAGATGCATCCCAGAGGGGCGTGTCAAATTGGAGAACGAGAGTGATGATTGTTGAAGGAATATCACATGGACTTCTTTACCTTCATCAGCTTTCAAGATTAACAATCATGCACAGGGATTTGAAAGCCAGTAACATATTACTCGATCCAGACATGAATCCTAAAGTTTTTGACTTTAGAATGGCTAGAATTTTCAAGCGGGATGAACTCCTTGCTAATGCTAACAGAATTGTTGGAACATTATAAGTTTGATAAACTATTTAGAAATACATTATTTGCTTGTGCTTTAAGTGAAAAAAAATAAATAAAGAAAATGTTTCCATTCCTAGTAACATGTCTTTTCTTTTTCTTTTTTCTTTTTGGTTTTTTTTTCTTACTAACAGTTACATGCCTCCCGAATACGCAGAGGATGGAATGTTCTCATAAAATCAAATATACTCAATTTTGGCGTCATAACCCTTGAAATTTTAAGCGGGAAGAGAAACAACAACTTTTATGATGTTAATAGGCCTACAGATTTAGTAAAACATGTGAGTGCTATTATTTGCTTCTATTTACAATAATTTTCTTAATTAAGCATGCTTTGTACAACTAAAATGTACATTAGCAATAAACCTGCGTACAAAAGGTCCATATAAGTTGAAAATTGCTGTTTCAGGCTTGGGATTTGTGGCAAAATGGAGTTGGCTCAGAGCTAATATATCGAACATTAAGCGATTCATGTGTCAACCAAGAGTTTGTTAGATTTATTCATATAGGTTTTTTGTGCGTGGAAGGATCTCCAGCAGATAGACCAACTACTTCAGAAGTCATTGCTATGATTACAAACGAAAGCACCATTTTGCTATAGTGAAGAAACCTGTATCTACAAATTTAGACAATGTCACTGATGCAGCGTGTGTTTGGGATGCTGTTTGGGGGCCCAAACGTGCATCGCAAATGAAAAAATTCAAGTTATGAAATTTAGTAGCGTTTGGGCTCATGTTTTGATAACATGACTTCTTGACTTGAAATGGACTTCTAAAATAAGTTGTTTCAGTTGTTTTTTCGTTTGCCAATGCAGTGAATAATATCATTAGGATCATTAATTGTATTTTAAATTTTTTTAGCTACCCTGACCTCTCTTGCATGTATATTTTCTCTCATTTGTGGGTGAAAAATTCGGAAGAAAAGAACAGAGGCCTGCGGCCTTTACACCTCCCCAGTATATATTTATCCATCAAATATATTTAATTAAGTATTTTACTATGTTTTTAAATTTCTTCCTAATAATAAACTAATTTTCTTCATTTTTAATAATTTTATTTTCAATACTTCTTCTAAAATGGTCACATTACATACATATAATATTAGATACATATTACTTAATAAAATTTATGTCCTTTTAAGTCATTTTGTATCTAAATTTACTTTTCCATTAATCATCAAATAAGTTTCAGCTTCTTAAACTAACTTTTTTATAAAAGTCAATATAAACATAAATCACATTCTACTATATGACTTTTATCCAATCTAACTTCCGTAAAAGTCAAATTTTAAAAAACTTACTTCTGCCACTACTAACCTAAATACACCCGCAGATTTCATTCTGCCTACAATGTGTCAATATCTACTATGAATGGAAGATAGAGAGGTATGCGCTCTTAAATTATCCTATAATATATTAAATTTTTGAAAATTCAGGCGCAAGGAGAACAACAGCTTTCAAGGTTTATTTTTTTTAACATGTATTTAATATTTTATTAAACATATTGTAAGTAAAGACTTGTTTTTTTCCTGAGTTACTTTAATATAATAGAATTGTTTCTGCTGTGTTTATTTTGGACACTGATAAACACTTGAAATTACTCTGGTCTCAATGTATTTGCTTCGCTGAATCTTACACAAGTCATTTGCATAACCAATTTACTACCGATGGGGAAAACCAATTTACTACCGATGGGGAAAACTAGCATTCGTGGATCGGGATGGTGTGAAAATGTTGACGGAAAAACTTGGAATTTCAAACAATACTAAATACTCCAAAACTAATTCAGCTTTCATATTCTCATAGACACTTCTCTGGTCTCAGGACGAAACAAATAAATCTTATTAGCTACAAATAATTAGAAGCATTCCATAACGACAAAGATGAATCAGCCGCTATTTCAACATTGTTTACTAAAGACTGCCACTATGGTGAATCAGCATATATTATCAAATGAATTCATCGCAAACCAAGTGTCTGGGGAACACATCGCTCTGAACTCTTCAAATTGCTCGTTCTAGGGTGTATGAAATGGGAAAATGAGCGGCCAAGACCACAAAGGAAATGATAATTCGTAACCATTTTCTCTTCCATGTAGTAAGTAGCAAAAACCTGTAACGTTCTAAGCAAAAAAATTGAGCTTCTTCATCACTTTGGCATATGCTGGAGGGACAATAGCTGGTTTTCTGAGTCTCCGTTTTGATTTCTTTGACTGCAGTTGACACCAGAAAATTATCAGTTTCAAGTATAGTATGTGGACCGTCATGAGGTATCAGGTATACTCACATGAGGTATACTCACATGAACAAAATGACTATCATTTGCCAAGTCCAACAATGAGGGAAATGGAAAGAGTTGGTCTTATTGTTGAAAAATTTTATTACTTTATGTGATAATGCATTAATCAATCATCAAATTTGTCTACCGAACCACATTTATCAATATTAAGTAATAAGTAATTGGGTTCAGCACTTTATTAAAATGGATGGGCTCTAATAGAGTAAATCATAATAGGTTGGGATATTTGATTCTGTATTATGGAACAGACTCCAACTCAGACCAATTTCAGAGTCATTGATCCTACTTTAAGGCATTTTTGTGATTGACCGCTCTTATTAACCCTTTATATGTGGTCCTTAAACATTTTGCCCTAACAACAATATACATTCTTGCTCTTTTGTTCATAAGGGCTGTAGCATTCTCTCATCTTCTCCATCAGTACTCTTGAGCAATTATGAATTCCTCACTCAACTTTCAGGTATGCTCTTGCAATTTATTCTCACTTGTTTTAGCACTTATAACATACCGATCAAACGATATCATCATTCTAACTTACGAGTCTTTCTTCCCCTTCAAATTTCAGTCAGTCGAGAATAGACGAGACTCCCTGGAGCAAATAAAAAACAGGGGAAGTTCCCTCAAATTATCTAAGCAACTGGCCTTTTTTTTTGGATACATGGCCAGAATTAATTAGAGTAGACATTCAATTACCATTTCAAATTCTTACTTTGTACTGCTTTTGCAACAGATGTTAACACAGGGCCTAAGCATACACCAAACCATCTTTTCATAATCCAAAACCATGCGCACACATGTAAGGCCACCTATCCGAAGAAAGGCCTCACAATGTAGCTACAACCCATGCAAGCTACTTTGCTAGCATGAAATAGTCAAAAGAATATGTTATAACCATGTGCTATGCATAATTCGGCCCATAGCATCCATGTCAAAGCAGTCATGCCACAAACACAACGAATACAACTAATTGGCATTTTAGATTATCCATCTTCTTAGTAATAAATTAAAATAAAACCACGTCATAGTAACGGCAAACACCAAAACAAGTCCTCAATGAAGCCAATAGCACTTCAGTTTTTCTCAACGGCCTGTACATATTAATGCGCCCGCAAAGTTTATAAAGGAGCATCCTAAGGAGATTCAAATTCAGCTATAACCTATCAATGATGAAAGCCAGATTACACGCGACCATAAGTTGTAGTAAATTGCAAAAACAGTATTTAGTCATTATCTTTGAATACATGGCTTCATTTGTTTATTACAAGTAGTTGGGGAGAGTCATGCACCACAATCGCTAAGCCTATATTTAGGAAACATTATCAATATCCATCCCTCCCTTACTCTTCCTCTCCTATCTTTTCATCACAAAGAAGTGCAAAACATGATCCTTAGGAAGGTTAATGTGTGCATGCAATTGGCCTGGCAGAATTAAAATACTGGCATCAAGTTAGTCTTTCAATATTTAAAACTAAAAGAGGAGCCAGTAGTGTCACAGGTCATCAGCTATCCTCTCAATTTTTTTACCATACAGTGTAAGTGAATCAAGGAAGCACCAAGTAAGCAAGGACAATAACTTTGATTTTAAGTCTTACAAACTCATGTACCAGGGAGAAAGTTTCAACTTTTGTCCATTCAAAGGATTTTATGGTGAGATTTGAAAGAAAAATGTAATATATTCTACATTCATGCATAGAAATTCTTGGGACACCACATTTTCCTGGGGCCAAAGATTTGTTAAGAAGTTTAAGATGTGGTCAAGATAGGTTTTGAGAATTTCTTTGCACCTCATAGCAAGATGTTGAGGGAATTCCGAAAATAGGTGTAAACTGATTTATTCAGTGCACCAAGAAATCAACACGATAATAAGGATTCTAAAGAGCATCCCCAGGAACTCACTTTTTAATACCAAATAACTATCAGATATTTTAAGAGCTTATCTATCTAAAGGATAAGAAAAGGGCAGACCTTCAAATGAGCATTGTGTCGCTTGCCCTCCTTCCAGCGCCTGATTGTCCCATCATTCAATGTTCTGAACCTGGATTTGTAAGACCTGTTCCGTAGTGGAAAAGCTCTTAAAACGAGATGCTATAAGAAAAGAAATAACAAGAAGATGTAAGTTCCAAGGAGAAACGCACGAGTAAAATTTCATCTTGAATTTCTTAATCTTGGAAGTGACCGGAGTCATTGGTTTTCTTCTCTTCTTCCGCTCTCTTGAAGAAACGTGTCGAACTTGAACCAACTACAGTTTCATATAAGGAACTAAAATGCCGTCACAATAACGATCAGCGCGACACCACGAGACTGGCTCGATATATAACATCAACTGTAAGAAACTAAACTCTAAATTTACCATATTCAGTCGATTGGGAGGGGGGGGATTGAACATTTCACTCTTAAATGACTTCGGAACTGAGAAATCAACTACTCATAAGTACAATATATATCAATTTAAAATTCCCAGATCGAAGTCAGTGTCTTCTGACGCATTTTCTCAGAACCCAAACAAAGCTCAGAAAAGACGGGGATAAAGAATAGAAGCCTGAAATCAATAACTTACAGAGAGAGGTAAAGGAGAAGAGCGAAAGGCGTGAGAAGCCAATGTGGGAGGGCATGACGAAGAGGCATTGAAGAGGGGAGAAGGAAGCCGATTACAGGAAGAAAACAGGAGAGGATGCGGGGCGTAGTGAAGCAGACGACGGGAAGATGTTGAAGCAAGAGCTTGGCGAGAATGAAGAGCTAGACACCGAAGCCTGGAGCAGCATCTCAGCATCATCGTCGCCGTCAACGGCAGAAGCTTTCGGCCACGGCGGTCGCCGAATTAAAACCTGCATAGAAGGGATTTAGGCTTCGACTTTGAGGATCCAGTTCGGCTTCCGCCCCTGCGGAGTGTCTGGGCCTTCATAGGCCCAGTCATAAAATGATCCTTATTTCTAAAAAGCCCAAACCCTCCTTTGCAGTTTGCACAGAAAAAGAAATGCGAACTGCGAATGGCAGTTGGAACACCCCAGCAATTTTCTTTTTCTTTTTCTTTCTTTTTCCCGGACGAACAGCCCAGCAATTTTTTTAAAGAACTAAAAAAAATAATTATTAAAAAGTCCTAATAATAACCTAAACAAATGACAAGTTTCAAAATAAAAAATAAGAACTTTAAGACTTATTTTGCAATTATTTTTTCTCTTTGAGACCTCATTGTAATTCTTCCTCTTTTTAAGTAAAATGTAATAATGATAATGATAATAATAATTAAAAATAATCATGAATTCATAATGATGATGTGATAATAGTACTTTGGCCCCAAACAAAAATGATAGTAGCAGTAGTAATGTCTAGAGAAAAAAAAAATAATAATAATACAATAAAACATTAATTGCTGGCAAAATGGTTTTTATTATTTCCAAGTAGAACTTATACCAGCCCTTTATTACTTTGAATAAAATTATTGTTAATGAAAATTAAGATATTAAAAATCAATATATATTGAAATAATTAATATGGTGATAAATTATGTTCGAAAAGTTTAAGATCCTTCTCTTATCTTATTAATCTTTTTTATTTTATATATAAGAATTCAATTATTATATTTAAAATACAAATTAATTTGCAAAATATCTGATATCCAAAACCCTATTAAACCCTAGATTTTAAACTATCCAAACCACACAAATCCAAGCTGGAAAATGAAAAAGAGGTTAGGACATCAACACTAGATCAATTTTTTCATAACCTCTTCCATCATACATGCCTTTTACTAATTTGTACTTGTCATTTCTCTAAATATAAATCAGCTCTAACTATGAAATATACTTCATCCAACTTTAAATATATGAGTATCTTAATATCTGTAAATTAATTTAGCTAATATGTTAAAAACAAAATAAAATATTACTCCTTTAATCCTAAATATAAAACTCATTTTATAATACTCCTCCGGTCCTTAATATAGGATCTAATTGTTAAATTGGTTTTGATCCTAAATATATGACCTATTTCTCATATTTATCAATTTTTTCTAAATCACCCCTATGAATACTCCTTCAACCATAATCAGGTACAAAGGGGTATTAAGAAAGATGATTATAGTTTTTTAAGAAAAACGTGTCACATTTATTATAATTATCTAACTTACCTAACTTCCTTAATATAATCAAGTTAGTTAAACGGGTCTTATATTAAATACCGGAGGAGTATAATTTATACTACAAAATAAGTCTTAAAGAAGCATTAAAAAAAAGGGAAAAAGACAGAAAAATGCACCTTTAACTTCAAAAGCCCAAAAACGTCCGCTGAATTCAAGAAATCCCATTTTGGTACCATGAGACCAAATTGGGATTATTATGTGAAAGGAAAAGACCAAATTGCCCTTCATTTTAAATATTATTTTTAAAATATCACAGCCTCTCTACTGCCCGGCCGGTCACCGGACCTCCGGCGGCGGTGGTCACCGGACCTCCGGCGGCGGTGGTCACCGGAGCTCCGACGACCAGCTGACAATTGGTCACCGAAGCTCCGTCGGTCGGATTATTTTTTTTTGAAAATTTTTACAACTTCAATATAATGGTTAACAACTTTTGTAATGCTATTAACAACTTCAATATAGCAATTAACAACAGCTTTTCTGGGAAATTCAACAAACTCCGGCGACCAGAAACAATTTTTTTGAAGATTTTTACAACATCAATATAATCGTTAACAACTTTTGTAACGCCATTAACAACTTCAATATAGCAATTAACAACAGGTTTTCTGGGAAATTCAACAAACTCAGGTAACCGGAAACAATTTTTTTGAAATTTTTTACAACTTCAATATAACGGTTAACAACTTTTGTATTGCTATTAACAACTTCAATATAGCAATTAACAACAGCTTTTCTGGGAAATTCAACAAACTTCGGCGACCGGAAACAATTTTTTTGAAAATTTTTACAACTTCAGTATAACGGTTAACAACTTTTGTAACCCTATTAACAACTTCAGTATAGCGGTTAACAACAGGTTTTTGAGTTATATAATTTTTCAAAATAATCTGTTGTTAACCACTATACTGAAGTTGTTAATAGGGTTACAAAAGTTGTTAACCGCTATATTAAAGTTGTAAAAATTTTCAAAAAAATTATTTCCGATCGCGCGAAGTTTGTTGAATTTCCCAGAAAACTTGTTAATTGCTATATTGAAGTTGTTAATAGCATTATAAAAGTTGTTAACCGTTATATTGAAGTTGTAAAAATTTTCAACTTCAGTATAACGTTAACAATTACGTTTTTTTTTTAAATTTTTACAATTCCAATATAACGGTTAACAACTTTGATATAACAGTTAACAACAAGTTTTTCGAAAAATTCAAAAAGTGGCATTTTTATAACTTCAGTAATGCCTTTAACAAACTCAAAAACCTGTTGTTAACCGCTATACTGAAGTTGTTAATAGGGTTACAAAAGTTGTTAACCGCTATATTGAAGTTGTAAAAATTTTCAAAAAAAAATTATTTCCGGTCGCCGGAATTTGTTGAATTTCCTAGACAACTTGTTGTTAATTGCTATATTGAAGTTGTTAATAGCAGTACAAAAGTTAACCGTTATATTGAAGTTGTAAAAATTTTCAAAAAAATTGTTTCCGGTCGCCGGAGTTTGTTGAATTTCCCAGAAAACCTGTTATTAATTGTTATATTGAAGTTGTTAATGGTGTTACAAAAGTTGTTAACGGTTATATTGATGTTGTAAAAATTTTCAAAAAAATTGTTTCCGGTCACCGGAGTTTGTTAAATTTCCCAGAAAAGCTGTTGTTAATTGTTATACTGAAGCTGTTAATAGCATTACAAAAGTTGTTAACCGTTATATTGAAGTTGTAAAAATTTTCAAAAAAAAAAATTCCGACCGACAGAGCTCCGGTGACCAATTGTCGGCTGGTCGCCGGAGCTCCGGTGACTGCTGCTGCCGGAGGTCCGGTGACCTGCTGGCCAGTAGGGGCTGTGATATTTTAAAAATAATATTTAAAATGAAGGGCAATTTGGTCTTTTCTTTTCACATAATAATCCCAATTTGGTCTCATGGTACCAAAATGGGATTTCTTAAATTCAGCATACGTTTTTGGACTTCTGAAGTTAAAGGTGCATTTTTTTGTCTTTTTCCCTTAAAAAAAAAGAATCAAATAGAGTGTTACATTAGTTTTGAATGTGGGATCAGAGTTAGCACATACGCTCACGTTAATAGCTTTTTCTTTCTTGACTCTAATCTCTTTTAATATAATATTAAAAATATGATGTGCCAAAAATTTGATTCCACAGTCAGCCACTAGATTTGAGAAATCTATCATATTGAAGCATTATCATCCGCAAGATTAAGCATTTTAAAAAAAGAAGACATTTTTATCAATGTGTTATTTATTGTCTTGACGGAATTTTTATGGAGGAACACTACCTGTGTCCACCATTTTTATCTTGCTGCCTCGTAGCTTTTTTGCTTTGAAATTGTAGCTCCGATATAAGCAAGCCGAAAGAACACTCTAATTAAAATATTATTTAGGTTAATAAGATTTCTTTCAACAGCCTATCATTGTTAGATTTCAACAATCACTAGATAGGAGATATTAGCTGTTTTTTTTTTTTTTTTAACTTTCATGTGCTACCTTTTAAGTTAATTCCTTTTAATATGTTTTTCTAATTTCCTAGGAGGTAGTCTTTTTATCTACTAATTGTTTTAGAATTTTGTAAACTTTGTTTTTTTTTTTAATATATCATTTTGCGTTTTCTTCTTAAGAAAAGCTCACAAAAAAATCTCATTTTTAACTTTTTAATTAAAATTTATGAAACTTTTATCCAACAATCACTGCCCAATCACTAAAGCCATGCACCTCACTAAGACGGAGAGATCCAAAATGCATACACAAAATATTCTGCCAAATTTGCAGAAATCAGAAAATTATCAGCCACGTATATGTTTCAAACAACCAACAAAAAATTACCCATGCATTAACTCAGACATCAAATATTATTTATATAAATATATAAACAGACAATAATTAGTAAATTTGTGCAATCACGGAACAAGATACAATTATACTACTCCCAGGACAAATGAAATTAAAACATATTTTGACCCAAAAGAATCACCATAGGAAAATGCAAGACGATGCATATGGATTCCATTAATCTCTTGCACGAAGCTTCAAACTCGCGAAGATTCCCTCTCCTTCTTCGAATCCAATCCAGACGCCGCATGCGAACCTCTCTCACTTTCTTCTGCAACCACATTCCCGGCCGCCACCGCTCCTCCGATGTCACTCACGTTGCCGAAAAGCAGACCCAATGTTCCCAAAAGAGCACCACAAAAAGCTAACCCGAATGAAGTTCGGAGCCGACCGGGAACCACCGTACCGACCGTGAAGCCGGCACACAAGCCGGCGGCTCTCATCCACGACAACCATATGGCGAACGCACCTTCTTTCCCGGCCGGCGCACAATCCATCACTAATATCCTCCCGGACGCGTGCAGTACGCCGGCCGATGTTCCCTGAATCGCCCCGAATATCAGCAAGTAGCCCCATTTCCAGGGATTATGATTATAGAAGAAGCCAAACCCAGAAGAGAAGATGGATAGCAGAAACCCCAGGATTTGCATTCTCACGGCGTCTATTTTTATCAGATGTTGAAAAGGTTGGAGCAATGGCAGAGAAAGCAGAGGGAAGAGAAAGTAAGTTAGCCAGAGGAACAGCAAGTGAAGGGGCTTGAAGCAGCGCTCACCCACTATGAAGACCACTCCTGCTATAAAAATGCACATAGTGGTGAAGGAAGAGAGGAAGATGCCGGCGAGACCTCCGATTGCGTGGGGGTATCGGAAAATCGAAAAAGGATGGAACTTTGACGGTGGAGAAACAGAGGAGGATGCTCTGTTTGACGATGTGTAGACGTGTAAAACACCAACAAGCCATAAGAGGCCACTGAAGATGGAGACAACCCATAAGCTAATGAACTCGTGCTCATTGGGCTCCCGAAGCATATGGTAGGTGAAGGCGGAGATAATGGCCGCGCCGACGGATCCGACTGCGGCGGAGTAAAGGGAAAGACGGTGGGAGATGGCTTGCCGAATGGAGTATCGGGATTTGGTAAGAGGGCCCGTGAAGGCATGAACCATGAGGCCAAGATGATGAGTATGAGCAGCGCCAGCGATGGTGCTGGCAGCAACAATGCCGGCGATGTAGGGGATGAATATCTTAGTGACTTTGAAGAATCCGGCTGGGAGGCAGAAAACAGCTCCGACGCCAGTGGCGGCGGCAGCGATGATGGGATGGAGGTTGCCGTCAAGATGATAGGAAAGGTAGCCTAGGATCGGAGCAGCGACGGCCAAACCAGTGGCCCATGCTATCGAAGTCCATTCCAAAGAAGAGAAATGAGAACCACTAACCCTAATGGTTCGCTGCGTAAGTTGACCGTACCTGCAATTATTTCACCAATTTTGCATGTCAGTGTAATAAGTTGATTCATTACCTAAGTCAAGAAACACTGCACATTTTAATCAGAAACCCAAAAAAAAAAAGTACTACAAATTCGGATACTTGCGTTAAACTGCAAATTTGTCCAGAAATTTACTCTATACATATACTATTCACAGATAAACCAGTCAAAACAATAAATAGGGAGAGGCAGGGGATAATGTCGGTCAACATTCAAAATGGGGTCTGCAGATTTTCTACATATAGTAATAGTGACTGTTGAATAATTGATCGCCATGTGTAGGAAGCTTTTTTTTTTCCCCCCAACCGATGACGATAATGTATATGTTAATCAGAAAGGCGATGACTTTTAGGTTGGAATCCGACAAAGAATTTTACAATTCCCAGGTAAAGCATACTACTCCTCCGATCCTTAATATAAGATCCATTTAACTAATTTGATTAGATTAAGGAAGTTAGGTAAGTTAGTTAATTATAAGAAAAGTGATATATTTTTCCCAAAACATCATAATCATCTTTCTTAATATCTCCGCTTCCTCTTCTATTTGATTATGGTTAAAAAAGTATCCATGGGGTAATTTAGAGAAAATTAATAAATATGAGAAATGGGTCTTATATTTAGAACTAAAATCAACTCAAAAATTAGGTCCTATATTAAAGACCGGAAGAGTACTACTATAGTTACTGTTTGGTTTTAAACATCAAGCGCAAGACATGGGAATGGCCTTGTCCTTGGTAATTAAAGATCATTATGATGAGTTGATAGAACGCAGGCAGTACATAGGTACTTTTTCACCCCCACATCATCTTGTCTGGTAACTAAGTTTTTAATCCAGCCCCAGAAATTGCAGGACCAGATCATCTGTTAATAAATGAAGTTTTAATCCAATAATGAAAAGAAATTAAATAAAGCAAGAAAGTGCATGAGAGTTTGAAAAGGAATCTTTCCTCAAACTGTTGAGTAAGAAAAAAGGTTTGGAAAAGCAGACACATAGTCCCAAAAAACACACAACTTTTCATGGTTCAAAACAACATGCGCAGTTCATCATAACCAGAAAATCTATCCTTAACAATGAACTGGTACCTAAAATTTTGAAGCCAAAAAGAGGAAAGTGAAAGACTTACAGGTGAATTTCTTTGTCTGAGCAGGTTAATGTAGGGTGGTGAAAGAGCCAGTCTTGAACAGGGTTTGGGTGGGAAGGAAGGTGTTGTAACTGACTGATAATGAGAGGGAAAACGACAGGAATAAGGACCGTTTGGATGAAGTAGGAGCAGAATTCGTAGAGATACCATCCCAAAACTTCAAACTTTGAAGGCTTGTCCTGCATCACTTGGTATCCGCCATAATCGTCTCGGGTTCTTGGAACGCCGCTGCGTGAGCTTGCAGCAGACACCACGTGCCTCCCATGCTCTGGAGCAGCACCGCCGTGGCTATTTCCAGCTTCTACCGTCACTTCCTTCATGGCGGAGGCGCGTGTCTTTGAGTTGCGACGGAAAATATGGAAATGAGGGTGTGGCCGGAGGAGGAGCAGGAGGAGGAAGAAGAAGGGCGTGAGAGAGTGGTTGGGTTGGGTTGGGTTAGCACAGCATTGTCCAGAGAGAAACTGAATTTTAACGAAAGTTTCGAGGCTGTAAGGAAACGCCTTTGCTTGGTGAAAGTAATATATTATTAGTTTATTCAAGCTGGCTTGCTTTGTTTTATTACCTCTGCCGTTTTTGTTTGGGAGAATAACAGTAAAGCCTTTTTTTTTTTTGACCAGAAAGAATAACAGTAAGCCTGGAGTATCATACCAAATCCAATGATATTTTCTACCATAAAACTTTTGATTGCAAGTATGAATTGAAACTTCAGAATTTAAAATTATTTTTAAAAAATTATTAAAAACGTAAGTGCGATTAATTCATTCTTTTAAGACTTAACTGTTATTTTTCTTTTTCCCCCCCTTTCATTTGGCAATATCAGGAATTAACTTACTCTTTTAGGTATTTTTCTATTCACAAATCATATCATTTAAACTTTTTCATTTTTTAAATGAATGTCTACTTTTAATTTTTATTTATTATTCTGCAAACCGTCATTTTCTAAAAAGTGTATATATCAAATTTAATTAAAATTAAAAATTTATTAACATTTAAGATAAAATAAATGAAATTTAAGATATTTTTTTTCTCATGACAATAAAACATGCGGAAAATAGTTTATAAGTAGCACTAGAATAACAGTGTTATGTATAAGGAAAAATTGTAAAAAAAAGAGAGTGAAAATTACAAAATTTCATGTATAGAATTCCTACAAAAATTTGTTGTTATTTGCAAATTCATTCTATTCAAAACCAACTAAATTTTTATCACGATTTCTGGTTTGGAATTTTACAATTTTTATAATCTTTATTTAGAATTTTTCCTACGCATTATACTATTCTATGTATTTCTATCATCACGGCATTCCCTACATTATTTTTATTTAAATTAACGACTTTGCGAGTGATATTTTTGAATATTCAAATTAGGGTGGCAATGGACAGAGCTAGGTAAGATAGGACCCTTGCTTGATATCCAACCTGAAAAATAAAAAGGTTTAGTAAATTGGGGCTAGGCAAATGTGAGTTAGGCAAGGCAGGCTTCCATGCCCAACAAATTAATATACTATATTAATTAATTATTTATTTATATCCCTCTAAGTGATTTAATATAACTTTATATTAAAATGACACCTAGGCCTTCATTTAGTTATTAGTAATTAATATACTATTAAACTACATTTTGTAGTAACTAAGAGGAGTGGACTGTGAAAAAAAATATTGTTAGTATATGTTATTAAACTTAATTATTTTTCTGGTTTTTAAAATTGCTTAACCCAATATGAATATCTTTTGTTTCCGTAACTCTCAAATACTCATAAGAAGATGGAATTAGTTATATTTTAAAAAAAATCTTTGTTTTGGTTTAATAGATTTTTAAAGTATCTTGATCAACATTTAATTTTAATCAAACAAACGGACAGCATTTTTGGACATGAACATGCCCAATATTTTTTTCTGGCCATTTATTTTAAGGCCGGTTGCGCTTTTTTTGGGGACCTGGGCCCACAGCGGGTAATTGGGCTATATAAATACCGGTAATTCAAATAACCACAATAATATATAGTGATATTTATTGTTAGAATGCGAGGCCTCCAGCATCCCCCTCTCCATTCTCAGGTGAGAACTGAGAAGTGACCACCCAGTACCGTGCTTGGGACTTCTCGCCTTGACAGTTAATGCCCTGATATTCCATCCTGTCCTAATCCAACTTAGAAATCAGCTGAGAAATTAAAATTTTATATTAGTCTCAAATGTAACCTTCTTTATGAGTATTTTTTAATTTATTTGTACTGACTATAGTAGTACATGTTAAATGTGTACCATTAACATAAGTTTTTTCGAATATAAATAATTAAAACAGTATATTCTTAGTAAAAGTAATAAATATTTTAATAAATAAATGCCTTATTTATTTATTTTCCTGAATTGGTCACTAGCTTCTACATAGTTAGTATTTTTGTCATTCCAGATATCTACATTACGCACTTGTAGTATTTTTTTTTTAAAAAAAAATTAACGTAAGAAAACATGAAAATGCCAATAGCTATAAAAGCTGGACATAGGAACTGATGTCTGTGAAGGGATCTTATTGCCTTTGACAGTTTAATTTCTGACAATAATGACGCATGGACGAGGCACTATATATTTGTGTTAGTGAACAACACAATGAAGTGAATATGAATTAAATTAATAATATAATGGTGTCTTCCCCGAAGGCATTAACTGGCTTCTATTACTATATATGTGTCTTAACTGGCTTCTATTACTATATTTGTCTATGTCAATTCACAAAGATCATCACTACTACTTTAGGACTTCTCGCCTTGCCAGTTCACGTCCTGTGAGGAATTTGCATGGTACATGGTACTAGGTGGTATTAATAATCTTTCCGATTAACATATTACATGCATGTTTAGCTTGACATTGAAAACCATTAGTTACATTTTGGCAATCTCTAATAGCTAATTAATTAAACACACCTATCTTTATTATGTAGTACTACTCCCGGTTCTTAATATAAGAACTAGTTGGAGATTGCATTTGATCTTAAATATAATATCACAATCCACTTTGTTCATCTAATTCTGTAATTCATTATCTAAAGTATCGTTGTTAATTACATGTATTAAGGGGTTTTTATCCAAGAGTAGTTATAATTAAGAAAAGTATTTTAAGAAAATAAACTCATATTTGTTACAAATAACTAGATAAACTAATTATTTTAATCTAATTAAGTTAGTTAAGTAGTTCTAATATTAAGAATCGGAGAAGGTAATGTTTTTAAATTATTAAATAAATATGGAATGTAGAAAACATGTAAAAATGCATAAACTTATGGAGTATTCACGAATATGCGCTAAGCATTATAATTTTTTATTGAAGGCAAAAAAGCCCATGAATTAAAAAGGACGCAAAAATACCACAATCATTTATTCAAGCAAATTTGTTGACTTTTTAGAACATAAATAGATAGATGTGAGGCTCATTTTTGCACTTGAGTAAATATTATAGCACTATATGTATAATCATGAATATTTCGTGGGCAGACTAATACTTAGGCCTGTAATGTTATGTTTGGATAGTTGGATTGGTGGAGATTTGGATTTGGACGAAATCAATTATTTAAGTACATAAAATTTTATGGGTTTGGATTTAATTCAAATCTAAACAAATTTGATTTGTTCTTTAGAATTTCAAACCCTAAAGCCTAATTATTTGACAAGTGATTAAAAGAATAGATTTTAAAATCATTGATTTATCCAAAAGTTGGATTGGTGGGCTTCATTAAAACCATGGTTTGGGCTTTAGGATAGATTTTGGTGAGAATTTGTTTTACGACCACAATAAGGGATTTCTTTTCACACACCGAAAAAAAAAAAAGGAAACGAGGTGTATATTTTGGGCTTTAAAACACATAAAGGATTTGTATCCACCATATCATCCATATATGACCAGTACTATCACTTTTAGGCTTGAAGAAATATATCACTTAATTATTCATATGAGTGTTTATTCATTTCGGTGGAGCCCAGAGTATCCGCGCACTGTATAAACTTTTCAAAAAGATAGTACTGGTCATGTCTCCATGCACACTCTTAGGGATCAAAACTCTAATTAAATATTTAAGGAACAAGCTGAGTGTCATCTATGTTAGGTCTCGTGGTTTGAGTGTTTATTCATTTATATTATCATTCACTTACTTTTTGTTTGATTTATATTTTATATTATTAAAACTACATGACTTTTTTTATTTTTTATAAAAAATATACAAATTTTCTTTGAAAAATTTAAAATTGCATAATTCTAGACTCATGTAATATTTCTTCAACCTATACAGTAAATTATAAAATAATGCTAAATTTTGAAAAATTATATGACTTTTATTTTAAGTTAAAGTCAGTGATGATTTTAAAATTAAAATTTTAATTTTTTATGAACAAAATAAAAATTTAATTTTATGTGACAGTTTGCGTATTTTTTTTCTAATTGTTTTTAATGTAAATCTTAAACTGTGAGAGAAATCAGGTTTAATTTAGTGAGATTTATTAATTTGTATTATTTTTAAAATAAAATGGATGAGGATATATGGGAGAAAATGTAAAAGGTTTGGAAGGGACAATATTATACTTTTAAATTTATATTTGAACATTTGGTCTTTTAAAATAATTATATTTTTCACGATCCTCTCCAATAACCGTCTCCCCCCTTGATCTGGCGTGGATATACACATAACGGAAGGAATAATACCAAGTGGGGCGTAATCCTCTCCAAGAATACTTGATACTATCTCCGGTCCTTAAATAAGAAATATTTGATTTTTAATTTGATCATAAATATAATATCTCAATCTATTTTTTTTCATATTTATTTTTTTAAAGTAATCCTTACAGTATTTACATATGTTAAATGTTTTATCACATGATATTAGATTAACAAGGATATTTAGGAAAGATAATACATGTTCACTACAAATAACTAACTTAATTAATTTTCTTAATCTACTCAAATTAGTTAATTAGTTATTATATTAAGAACCGAAAATAGTATCTTTAAAGTCAAAAACATATACCACCTCCGGTCTTTATTATAAGTTTTTTTATCTGATGTAATCGTTTTTTTTATTTTGATATAAAATAAACACAATTCTTAAATTAATACATGCCAAAAAAATAAAAAATAGTGACACCAAAATCTTTCAAATTAATTTTCGACTGTCCGAATGAAATGCATATTTTATAAATATCCTTAAACATGCAAACAATCTGGAATTACGATAACTGTCAACCGTTTTAATCTTTTCATTAAAGAAAGAGCGTTCATTATCTTTTTTTTTTTTTGGTTATGAAATTCAATTTTTTGACCTTCAATATTAAATTCAATTTCCATCGTTTGAAATATTTTGACTTTTGGAGTGTACGTTTCTTCTCTTATATTATCTCTTCTAAATACAAGAGCTGGTTGGATTTTGTTATACACAGAAACACACAGAATAGTTCTTAGAACACACATTTGTTAAAGAGAAAAATATAACTTAGCTAATTTTCTAAGTCTCTTGAAATTGTATATATTTATGCAGCCTCCTCGTGCAACCCAAGAAATTAATTCTTGGGCGGAAAATGAGACAAGTGGCCTGGTTAAAGACTTTATCCATGAGGGGTTGCTAAGCAACTCAGTCAAGTTCGTCATTACAAATGCAATACACTTCAAAGGAGCATGGAAAGGGAAATCATATATACCCCGTATAAGCAGACGTCCTCAAGAAAGGAACGAGAACTTAGAGATGGATCCCTCCATGAGTGCCAAGGGGAATGCATTTAAGGATTTGAAAATGGTTTATCAACCACTTAAAATGCAAAGTAAATATGATTACGAACGATTCAGCATGTTATTCTGTTTCCCATTGAAAGATACTGATCGAGCACGTATAGAACATGTTACAGAAACCTTAAAGAATCTGTGTGGCCACCAGGAGATCCCAAAATTTAATATTTCTTCCGAGGTGGAAGTTTCTGAGACGCTGAGGGGAGTAGGGGTGACATTGCCGTCTTCTGGAGGAAAGTGGAAAGGGATGTTTAGTTCTTTTGGAGTTGGTCGGAAGTTGTATGTTTCCAGCATATTTCAGAAGTCATTCATGGAAATAATCGAACAGGGGACGGAAGTTGTGTCCGTCACTGCGGCAGTAGTGATGTCTGGGTGTCCACCATGTCTACCTCCTGTGCCTACATTAGAACACAAACATATCCACCCACTCCACATCTATGATGGTACTACGGCCAAAACAGACTCCGTGATTATTAATCTCATCGATGTTATCAAATAGGGTTCCTATGCTTCGTCCTCATTATAATTTAAATAATGTTTGACTCTTCTTGGTATTTTTACACTACAAGAGATTGTAGAAGTAGCAGCGGAACCTTTCTAGCGGTTAAACAAAACCGCTAGAAATTTCAGATATTTCTAGCGGTTCCTACAAAAACCGCTGCAAAATACAGACGGTTTGACCATTAAATGCACATTTCTAGCGGTTACCCCCTAACCGCTAGAAAATTAGAGCTAGAAAACTCCCCGGGCTTTGGCGGGAACTTGGCGCCAAATTTGTAGCGTTTACTTTCTAGCAGTTCAGGCTAATAAACCGCTAGACACCGAAAAATTCTAGCGGTTGATGCATGAAGCGCTAGAAATTTTTTTCATTCCCCGAGGAGTTTAGAAATTTCTAGCGGTTCGGTCCTTAACCGCTAGAGATTTCTAGCGGTTCGGCCGTGAACCGCTAGAGATTCTAGCGGTTCGGCCGTGAACCGCTAGAAAGTCTCGCGGTTCAGGCCAGAACCGCTAGACTTTCTAGCGGTTCACGGCCGAACCGCTAGAAATCTCTAGCGGTTCAGGCCTAGAACCGCTAGAAATTCCCAACGGTCATATGACCGTTGGGAATTTCTAGCGGTTAGGCACAAAACCGCTAGAAATTTCTAGCGGTTTTGTGCCTAACCGCTAGAAAGTCTCGGTCTATATATACCCCCCCACACTCTCACTTCTTTAATCGTTCTGGAAGCGAAGCTCTGCTGAATTTTCTTCACAAACATATTTGAGTTCTGATTCAGTTGCAGATCCTTATTTTCAGGTAAAAATAGTAATTTATTGATAAATAATTTTTATTTTATGTTTTATTTTATTAATTTTATTATGTTATAGCTTATAAATTAATTTTTTTTATTTCATTTATAAATAATTACTATTTGTTGTTATTAGGATGCCTCGTCGACATGGGAAAGACCCAGTTGATCCTGAGAGAGCTGGACCCAGTGAGGTTCATCATGATGCTGATGAGCCATTTCCCAGCATTCATGACTACGATCTGAGCGAGGAGGATATCCTCAGTTTTATGGAGCAGGATGGTATTGAGCGGACTGAGGAGGCTCATTTTACTGGGGATGAGCAACCCCATGCTGATGCTGCTGACTAGGAGGAGGAGGAGGAGGAGGAGCAGGATCAGGGGAATGAGTATCCCCAGGCTGCACAGCGTCCTGCTCCGAGACGTCAGGCTGGTTATGAGGTGGAATTTGTCGGTAAGTATTTATTTTAACTTTTTAAAGTTTTGATCAGTATTTAATTTATATAGAAATTATATTAATTTATTGATATATAATTTATTTCTTAATTAAATTTTGTAGACACTGAGGGGAACAGGTCCTATCGGAGGCTGACAGCCAGAGAGCTGTCTATGATGACGGGCGGACGAGTGGTTGTGCCGCTCAATGAGTTGGGCCAACCGACGAAGAAAGGTGGCCAGTTGTACAACAAGTACGTGCGCCTCCTTGGTCAGCAGTGGACGCTGTTCCCCATCTACGTGCAGGACTGGAAGAAGATCACCTCAGACAAGAAGCAGCAAGGCTGGGAAATAATGAAGGTAATATAAAATTGTTATTTATAATTTTTTTAATTTAAATAAATGATTATATATTTTGTTTTCAAATAATTTAATTGTTTGATTATAATTTTTTATTTATTTAATTTGTTTGTTATTTATAATATTTTTAAAAGTAGTTAAATGAATATATATTTTTAATTTAAATTATTTAAAAGTAGTTAAATGAAAATAATTTGTTATTGATTTCATTAATTTATTACTTATAATAATTTTAAATTTAGTTGAGTAAAAATATTTTTTCATTTAAATTACTTAATTGTTTAATTATTATTAAACTTTGATTAATTTATATTTTATTTATAATATTGTTAAATTAGTTAAAAACTAATTATTTGTTTTTAATTATTGAAATTGCTTAATTATTTGTTTATAATTTGTTATTTAGTTAATTTATTATTTTAATCATAGAGTAAATTTATTCTGGGGGAGGAGTTGAGGGCTGACACGATCAAGAGGCTGGGGATGGCATGGAAGAACAGGAGGGCCGACCTGTGGAGGGAGAAGAAAGGTGACGGGACGAGGCCCCTCCAGGAGATACTGGCAGATGTACCTGGTGGAGTCCCGGACCAAGACTGGTCCACTTACGTCTATTTTAGGATGACGGCTGACCAGATGGTATGATAATATTGTATTAATTATAATTTCTTTATTTTTTATCCGACTTGACTCATTTAATTTAATTTTTTTACATTTTGCTTCAGGCTCTTTCTAGGAGAAATGCTAGGAGCGTCAGGCATCAGACGATACGTCATAGGGCTGGATCCAGGAGCTTTGCGATCACTTATGACGAGATTGTGAGTACTTGAAATAAATTTATTAAATATGTAGATGTATTTAATTTGTAACTAATTATTTCTTTGATTTCATTTACAGATAGAAAAGACGCAGCAGGAGCGGGGATACACGCCCACTTATGGCGAGATGTGGCCGATGGTGTATAGACCCCGAGACGGGCGTGCGTCGGATGAGGTTGAGGAGATAGCGGTAAGTAATAAATTAAATATTAATATAATATCACAGTGTAGATATCATTATATTATAATTAACTTCTTTATATTAATTTTGGTAGGCACGGATGACTCAGGTCGATTCCGAGTTGCGTGAGTCTCAGGGGTCTGCCTTGGATCCCACCGCCTCACTTTTAGCGGGTCTTGGCCGGCCGCAGCACCCTGGTCGAGTTAGCGGGCTTGGACTTGGACCTACACCGACTAGGCTGCCCCGCTCAAGTGGCGCTGGCCCTTCATATACTGCTGGGAGCTCTCATGCGAGTGCGAAGCGGCCGGGTTCCTCATCTTCAGAGGAATTGCGAGAGGAGCTCCAGACGCAGCTTGACCAGCTCTTGGCAGCTGCTACGGCTCTGCGTCATGTGGTGGTCAGTATAGCTCCAAACATCTCGGTTCCTGACATCCCCGACCTACACATGCCACCAGTCCCGCCCCTACCCCGCCATCCGCCAGTCCAGTCCCAGCAGGTTGAGCGGCCTGCCCACCGTCAGCCGGAGGATTCAGCAGAGGATGATCCCGATGATGCTGCTTCTGCCCCCCACCCATGATTTGCTTTCATTGTATCGGATTTTATTAGAATCTTAATTTTACGGTTTTATATATTATTTAGATATTTATCTAAATTTTATATTTATTTGTTTCCTTTATTGATTTATTTCTATAATTTTATTTATGTCAAGTACTAATTAATATTGAAATATTTATTTATTTATTACAACATCAACATTACAATTTATTAAACACGTTAAACATATTAATTACTCGAAATAATTCTATAATCATTTATTAATTTAATAAATATTTTTAAAACTGTAGAATTTTCTAGCGGTTCTCAAGAACCGCTAGAAAATGTAGAATTTTCTAGCGGTTCACGTGAACCGCTAGAAAATTCTACATTTTCTAGCGGTTCAGAACCGCTAGAAAATTGTCAAATTTGACCGAATTTTCTAGCGGTTATAAAACCGCTAGAAAATTCAAAACAGATGGAGAGAAAATTCCCGTTAAACCGCTAGAAATTTCTATCGGTTTGTAACCGATATTTAGAATTTCTAGCGGTTAATAACCGCTGGAAATTGAAATTTTCCGTTAAAACCGCTACAAATTTGTAGCGGTTTTGTAACCGCTACAAAAAAATGACCGTTCCTCCACCCTCCTTTATAAGCTGAAGCACTTCAACTGAATTTCATTTTAACTTCTCTTTGAGCTCTGTGGCATATTTTCACGAAATTTGAGCATTATTAGTCATGGATAGGTCGTGGATCAACTTGCACCGGTCGACTCCGCAATACTTGGCTGGTCTAAACTATTTCTTGGATTTTGCTTTCGCCAATGCTGCCGTAAATGGTAAGATTCAGTGTCCCTGTCCTAAATGTAATTTCAAAAAGTGGCATCCCAAAGATATTGTTAGGGAACATTTAATCTTTAAGCCTTTTCCGCGAGAGTACGTATTTTGGCAACTACATGGGGAACGGCTAGATATGGGTGCTGAGTCAGTGCCAGTAGTTTCACGGATGGGAGTTCGAGTGGATGAGGCCGATGCCGTGAATGATGCTGTGCGTGATGCTTTTGGTGTTCACGAAAGCTCGAATCCCAACGAAGATGAAGTAGAGGGACCTCAACCGGAGTTTCTAAGAAACGAAACTGCTCGGGAATTTTTTGACCTCATGACCGAAGCTGACAAGCCTCTTTATTCTGGGTGTACAAAGTATTCGAAGTTGTCATTCTTGGTGAGGCTGTATCACATCAAATGCTTGTGCGGTATGACTGACAAGGCGATGTCTATGTTGCTGGAATTACTGGGAGATGCTTTCCCCCAAGCTGAATTCCCTCCGTCTTTTTACGAAGCAAAAAAGATTATTAACAAGCTTGGCTTGAACTATAAGAAGATAGATGCATGCCCAAACGACTGTATGCTATACTGGGGAGATGATGCCAACAAAGAGATTTGTACGAGATGCAAGACGTCACGCTATAAGTCGGTACGAAAGGGCAAGAAGCAAAAGAAGAAACCGGCCAAAATTCTCAGGTACAAATTATTACAGCGTGTTACTTGTTCCGTCTCTAAAAATATTCGGTATTTTAAATTTTTAATATATTATTTTCTTAGATACTTTCCTTTGAAACCACGGTTGCAAAGAATGTATATGTCATCAAAAATGGCTCAGCACATGAGGTGGCACGCGACTGAGGAAAACCTAGATGGTAGGTTAAGGCACCCACGAGACTCGGAGGCGTGGAAAGCGTTTGATGCGAAATTTCCAGACTTTGCCAATGATCCTAGAAATGTACGTCTTGCATTGGCAACCGATGGTTTTAATCCCTTCGGAAACATGAGCACAAGTTACAGTATCTGGCCGGTGGTGTTAATTCCATACAATCTACCACCTTGGATGT